CCGCCCCGCCCCGCCCCCCCCCCCCCCCCCCCCCCCCCCCCCCCCCCCCCCCCCCCCGCCCCCCCCCCCCCCCCCCCGCCCCCCGCCCCGCGCTCGGATCAAGAAAACCCCCTTGCAGGTGAACATCCGGTACCGTAGGAGCGCATCTCGATTCCTATAGCGGTCTACCAATCAGGGCTCAGCACTAACACCAACTCGAACGAACCAGCAGGCATTCCGCGAGTTCTCTCCAACAGCATGGCTGCGGCACCACCAAATTGACGAATACCAAATACGATTTCTTCTTCTTACTTTCGGCGCCCCCCAATTCCTCGACTCGAAACTACCTATACCTCACGTTCGTGTCTCGATATGTACATTTGAACATGTTGTGCATCCCGTGGAGTTTCAAAAGCAGGCTGCCGTGCTGTTGGCGTACTAAGCTCCGTTTGGACTAATCACAGTCTTCCAATTTGATCCTTCAACTCTCTAACGATCAAGAAAGGATCGTTCCTGGGGTGTTTCTTTACGTGCAGCTGCCTCGTAGGTAAAAGATCCTATGCGGCCCTGGCCTAAGATCCTTACCCCTCGCCGTCGTTAGCAGGCCAGCTAACTACCTACTATCTAGTTAGTCTTCTAGACCAGGAACAGAAACCAGCACTGCGTTTCTATTAAAAGAAACGAAGCTGGAAAAGAGACACAAGCCTCATAATTATGTATGCGCTAAATCGGAGAATTTCATCGCTGCCAAAGCCACAGAGATGTCCTAATTTAGCCTTCTATTGCCCAATCGCGGCCAGTTGCCGTTTAGATCAGGGGTAAAGTAAGCGCCTCGATGGTAAGCAGCCCTGCCGCGTCGAGCTACTACTTCGTACACACCCTCCTACGACAGTTCACGCATACATTACACGCAGGCGGGACAATAACCGCATCGGCATATCAAGACTGTCAAAATCACATGTTCGAAATGGTATGTATTTCTTTCGGGCCTGGGCGACGAGATTAACGACCGTTACAACTTCTTAATCAATTAATCGGCATGGCTCCTATAGGCAAGAAGGAGATTTCCTCGGTGCAAAGGTAAGATTAGTGGTGCAGCAATAGGAAGGTGAGAGAGCTGGTGACTTCAGCTCGACTAGACCGGCCGCGGCCCTTTATAGAGTGGCAGAGTGGCAGAGTGGGTAACATCGCATCGCATCGCATCGCATCGCACGTCTATACCTTGCTTGCTTGTGTGTTATGCATGTCAGACGGAGGCTGGCTTACTTACTTACAGCTAGACGCATGCCAGCGAGCAAGCCTTCCACGTTTTTTTCAGTACGCAGGCCATTGCTGCCGGTATCCGCTTCCTACCTGAGGGCTCGGAGGTTGTCTAACACGGGGCCTGCATTCGCGTTTACCTATTCGATCGCGTAAAAAGATAGGCGTTGATCGCCCCCTCAAACTAGTATTGGATCTTTTAAGCCGCCTAAGCAGATAATCACCTCCGCTCTATCAATAACCCTAACCCTATAATACCGCCTCGGTCATACATACGTACCTACGTACGTATAACTAGCGCTTAGGAGGCTCAAAGTCAGCAGCTAGCATCCAGCCTCATCCAAAATAAGTAGGATTAAACGGCGGCGGGTTTCTTCCGCGATATATTAAGTACGGAATCTCACGACGGGGTCTAGTTTAGCTTCATAACGCGCTTAATCCCCCAACTACTACTAAGAGGAACTAGATAGATAGACCTTTACGTAGCGCCCTGTTGGCATACGAGCTTTGCGGTTCAAGCAAAGCAAAGCAGAAAAAAAAGAAAAAGCTATCGTCTTATTTGGGCGTGTCAGCACGCTAATCTCGGTGTAGAGATTTCGTATTGGAGCAGGCTTGATATCTATATACGGCGCCGCTTTAGACATTGGTCAGAGTTCTTATCATCCATTCATCCTTCACGACGAATCCGCAAGGCTACCTACCTATCTATCTATCGTAGGCGATTCTAGAAACTATTCTAGAATAACTCCAATGGTTATCTCACGGCCCAATTCTTCAAACCTCGTGTAAAAAGGGACCCCAAAGCCACGAGACGCCGCCGTAGAACTATCCAGATATATATATATATATATACGTCGCTAAGCGGTCTAGTCTGCGTTGTGGAAGAGGCGCATTGGAGGCTATTACGTGATTAACGAAGACTAGGACGAGCGGATCTACGGCTGAGGAAATCTACCTATGTATACTGCTGCTTAATTGTGGGATTCTGGCTTATGTAGAGCCGTATATTGCGTGCTAGGCGGGTTGGGCGGGTTGGGCGGGTTGTAATAGGAATCAATCAAGCTACCTCATAGATTATTTCAGATAGAAGGCTACTAAGAACTGCCATGGTAGATATGTAATCTCATTTCTTAGGGCCAACACAGGTATCTATGATACGTTGTATAGCAAGAAACTACCTAAACTACCTAACTAACTATTCATTGGCGTGCCTGTCACTCTTTTATTCTATTCTATTCCATTATATCATCATAATCGAGTTGCCACTGCCGTTAACTTGAAAATTTCCGTGGCCCTGGCTGACCAAGGGGTTGCTTAGCCTAGTAACGTTAATACCCCTTCTAAACTACCCTGCATATCAACGTGATAAGTGAACAGGAACTTGGAGATATAAGAAAGGTAAGGTGGATAACGAGATGATTGAGAAAGGGGGAATGGAGGGAGATAGAGAGATAGAAGAAGAGACAAGAAAAGGAAAGAGACTTATACTACACGTCTTACTACGCGTGGAGAAGAATTTACAGATAACTTCGACCCGTGAACTCAGCTCATATCTTATTAACATCTACTTCCACATCTACAAGAAGTCCAGCTTTCGATGAGCTAATAGAGGAAGACGTCGAATTAAGGAGTTAGAAGGCGTCGATACCTATTACCGAAGGTCAAGGCTCCCATTCTACGTTCACACTTCAGACAAGCCTTTCATTTAACAATCACCCCATACAATAGATCAGGCCAATAAATCTATTCCGAAGACCAGTCGGCACGTGCCAATGATCTCTCTTCATCAGCTCTGTTTGTTCTGTCTTGTCTGCACCAAGACCTATCGAGTCTACATATCAGCCCTACCGCTCTACCACACCACCAGCAACGTCTCGAGAAATAGTATCGTCCCCCTAGCCCATCACCTACTCCTCTTTCACTTTTCTCATCTCCATCTTTTATCTCTTCCCCCCTCCCTTTCCACCCTTCGTAAAAACACGCCGGCGTTGTCCCCGTGTGGGTTAGGTCGTCGCAGACGTGACAAAAAAGTGAGGAAAAGAAACAAAATCGCAATGCTCTCAAGGATATCATTAAATTTCCTACCGTGAAAGACAGAAAGAAAAGTAGAGAGCCGCCGTAACACCTCCTTGGGGAGAAGGAAAAGAAAGGTCGAAACAAAATCCAATGACGAGCCAAGAGCCGTGTGGCAGCGCTCCCAACTAATCGTATGGTCATGATCCCTGCAAAAATAAAACTCCGGACTTAGACATGAATGCTGTTGACTTCCGCGTGGTCTCACTGCCAAGCCGGCGAACCACACTTGTCCTTCGGTCTAGTATGTACAAATATCGAGTACAAGTATGGGTGGCGTAAATAGGAGAATTCCAAGTGGGTTAGGTGAAAATGTTATGCGTATTCTCGATGATAAATTGCACGGCAAGATTCTTAGCGTGCATATCTGTCATTTCTCGCTCGATATTGTGATCTCGCATAATAGTCGGTGCGAAGACCACGGCAAGATTCTTCGGGGTCATCTATTCAAATATTAGCCTAGCCAACTCGATATAAAGCAATATAATGACTCACAAGATTCTCTCGTTCTCGCTCAGAGACACGATGAAGATGGAACATCAGGAACTCAAGACAGTCCTTATGTTGAGGCGGGAGCTGCTGGAATACACTCTGCAAATGGGTGCATTTATCCGCATCATTTGCAATTGCTGAATTAGGCAAGTTAGTTTTCCTTCAACACTCGAACGCTTGTTTAGCTGATACTTACAATTCGTCTCAAGTATGCGATCATAGACATCAAATGTCAGTAACGGCGTCGGTAGTTTCCTGAAATACTGTTTCAGCGCGCTCGTTACCGCCGTGATATCTATATCTGGATCCGAAATATCGAAGTTCTCATTCTTATCGAATCCTTCCTGAATGGCCTTGGTCTGGGAATTTCCGCCAGTCTTGCGGTAGATGCCTTCCATATCCATACCCCTCAGCTCGACCTCTTCGATACAGCGTGTCACAACGCACGGAATTTGGCGGCGTTCATAGTCAGCTCTCTCTGATAGATCGGAACCGAAGAGAACACTCGGTGCTTCTGCAACAGCCGGGGATGACATGTTCGTTGCCGTTATGGTTCTCGGGAGCGTGTTCCCTTTCTTAAAGCCGAAGAAACCTTGACGACCACCATCTATGGGCTGGCGATTTTGGCCGTTAATAACTGTATGCGTAACTGGCGACTCAATAGGTACAATGGTCATATTGTAAGGGAGACCAATGTTCTCGCCGGCCATGCCTAGCTGCCCGTGACGCTCGCGCTCTGGCTGTTGGAAGGCAACGACTGTACGGTTCACACCCTTGGCAATGTTCTGGGCCATGGCTTTTGATCCTTTCTTCCAGTTGAACTTCTTGACTTGGCCCTTTCCTATCTTAACCACAGTCGGTCCAGACTCAAGGATTGGTTCTTCTTGGTCTCCGCCAAGGATCGTCGTACCGGTCTGGATGCTGGAACTGTCTAAGCTGATCGAATGGTTCGACGAACCCTTGTGTTGATTGTAAATTCCGAGCCCGTTCGGAGGTGACTTAGGGTCCGAATGATTCTTGAATCGTTCCTGGATTTGGTTTGTAAGATCGTTGTTCAAGTCGGCCAACTGTGCATTCTTAGACACCAGTTGTTCAAATTCCACTCGAGCACGATCTCTTTCCGCAATTGCTCTATTCTTTTCCTCAACAAGTTCATCTCGCTCAGTGTGAAGTTGCTCGAGGCTAGCTGACATAGACTGCTTCAGCTTCTCGAGTTTTTGTACAAAGTCCTTCAGTGCAGATTCCTCCAACTCGCGGGGGTCAATAGGTCGCTTAGTATCCTTGGCCCTTTCCACGTATCCAGCCAGTACTTCCAACTGACGAATCATTATCTCGGTTTGAGTATCCAACACAGAAACAGTCTTGCGCTTCTCCTCTAACTTCTGGTTAAGATTCTTCAAATCTTTCTCGTTATTGAACTGGCGCTCTAGTTCTGCTACTCTCTGTTCCGAGTTCCGTAGGCGTCGTTTCAACAGAGCCGGGTCATCGTTTGGATTCACCGACAACGGGCTATTAAGGTCATGTATGTTGGCATGTAAGGCATCTTCCGCTATAGGGGTCTTAGGCCAACGAGGCGATGTAGTAGTACGGGTTGTTTCGCTGGCGCTTCGCGTATGGCCAATGCGAGGAAGATTAGTACTTGACTCAGTGCTATTAGTCCGTCCATGTCGCACCGCGTTCGAAACCCGGCGAAGAATGGAAGAAGAACCCTCATCCGTGCCTAGGATACGAGCCATATCTTCATCCATACTGAAGTCACCACCCGCGCTCCATCTGGGCAATTTAGGCGATGTTTTGGGTTCACCATTCGAGTTCACCGACTCCTGACCCGCAGTCGATACTGGTGGAGCAGGTGGTGCCCTAGGGGTCATATAAGGATCGGAAGGCTTTTGTTCGGAAGGCCGAGAGGCTGTACCGTTCACTAAAGAGTGTTAGTTAAGAATAGACTGCCTCGCCTTGTTAATAAAACTTACTGTTTCTAGAAGCCGCAGGTGGGAGCTCTTTTCTGGCAACAGGCTTTCCATTGTTGCTACTTGGCATGGTTAGAGAATCGTTAGGTCGCGCCTCGTCATCTTCTTTGAGGCGAGAGTCTTGTGAACTACGCGGAGTACCCGTCTTATCGCCTGCATTCAAATGTTGGGGCAAACTGTTCCTTCGGCTAGAACTGCTGCTATCCCTAGAAATAGTAGAGTCCTGAACTGCATTTGATTCAGAGTTCGTCCGCGAGTTTGCCTTTTTACTCTTCGGTGCTTCCTGCAACTTGAAATTATCCGAGGGATGAGCCTTTCCATTCGGTGCCTTCTGAGATCGGTCTTCTGGGGGAGATGATTTCGGTGGCGGGTTCTTATCGCTCCTAGAAGACTTGGAAAGCTTCCTCCCTAAGTCTTTAGGAGGTGGAGCCTCATAATCTAATGAAGATTGCCTTGCCTTCTCTTGGAAAGCAATATGCGGAGTGGACGACTGTGAAGTATCCCTTCGGTCCGGACCAGTAGTTGGCTTGGGGGGATTGAAGTAGTCTTTTTCCTTTGGCTTCCTGTTAGGGTCGGCCAGAGCCTCTGAGGTCGATCGAGGAGTTGTGGACGGCACCGGGCTTGGGTCCAAAGCAACGGGGATGAAGAAACCTTGATCATCGGCAGCGTTACTACCTCCGACCTCACTACCCGGAAATACAGTTGAGTTCCGATTATTGCGATAAGCCCGCGAAGGAAGAGACAAGCCCTCGTCTCTCCCACCGTGATCGACCGAGCGTTCGGGGGATCTAGATGGTCTCGAATTGCTTCTTGACGAGTCGTTCCGAGGGTATCCCGGTCGTGGTCGCGGCGACAGTTCTGTAGGCGTATCGGAATCGGGATCAACCCTGTCGTTAGAGAAGGCATTCGGCGGTATTGCATTAGGAGGGAGTGCCGGGAGAGATTTGTCAACGATCATTGGCGACGCATCTTTTTCGCGCGCCTTTGCCTGGGCGGCGGCTTTAGATTTCTTTCTACGCCGAGCCATTAGAGATTCATGGCAGTTCATGCAAAAAATTCCTTGTGATGTCCTCGCATATCGGAGGTTTTCAATTTTCCTCTTGCAATTTCGGCATCGGAAACAGGCCGCACAGAAAGCCTGGTCTCCAGTAAGTATCGCGAGGTCTTCAATCTTGTCGCCGCAAGCGCTACAGCTGTAAGTGCAGTTATTGCAAATAAGTGAGCCATCTCCCAGCAACAGAAGGTTCGCATCGGAGTCGAGGAGGGTACCGCAAGTGTTACATCGGAAACAATTGAGATGCCATCGGTTTCCAGCTGTATCATGGTCAGAACCGTCGTACATCAACTTGAACAGGTTTTTTGGGCCAACGTAGTGTCTGGAGGTTAAGGTGAGATATAGGAATAGATATAGAACCTACCTAGTTCAAATGCTTTACCCTCTTCAAGTATCTAGATTAACAGTAGAACTTAGCAATGATATCCCTCAACAGATAAATGCCCTTCTCATACCTCTCCGCAGCCTTTGCATGGAAAGACATCATCGCTGTCCATCGGAGCTTCTGTATATTCATCCATCATGTGCCGTTATTGTATGTAGTCAATCCGAATTTATGTCCAAAGCAAGACAATGTAGCCAACAGGTGGGTAACTTGATAGGTTGTCTAACTTATAGAAAAGTGTCGAATTAAGGTCGGAGAGTCATAAAAGGCAATCGAGACGGGGCTATCGCAGCATGGAATCTGTCACCTAGCAACCTCGAAAGGGGACAGCTCGAATATACGGAACGGTAAAATACGAAAGGTAGGTCGAGCGCGTGAACGAACTCTCGCTAAAGGTCGGTATAAGGAGGTGTATAGGATCTACGTCTGTCGGAGAGAATAACCGGGTAGTTTCTCGGAGACTTGATCGACAGGACAGCAAGGAAGCAATAACAGAGGGTTGTCGTGGTAGGTATCGAGGTCTAGCAAGGCGCCACTGTGTATTGCGCGTGGTGAATTGGTACGTGATTACAAGAGTCAAAAAATTTGAGGCGTTGAATAGTAGTAGCGAGCCAAAAGGCGAGACAGGAGAGGCGGACAGGTGAAACCAGCCCACATAGAAAAATATGGCCACGGGCCGTATAGTGAACAGTATCAAGAATCAAGAATCAAGAATCAGGAATCAGGAATCAGGAACAGGATAGTAGAAGAATCTAGGTTAGCTTGTCGATTTCATGTAAGAAAGGGAAACGTGATAATCGTGACAAGCGTGAAATGAATTATTGGGTTCTGTATTCTGGGATACTCGTGCGAATCCAATTCAATGATTGATTCACGGATGCTTAAACTGATAGGTAAGTTCGGAGTGTACAAGAAAGGGGGGGAATCCACGGCATGGAGGGGATACATTTACAAATTGTGGATGGAGCCCAGTTTGTTGGTACCAGTCTTCTCCTAGTCGTCTCAGAGATGGACCCTTATTACTCAAGTGGGACAGTTCTGGTAACGGTGTACTACATGTAGGTATGTACAGTACCTAATACAGGTACTGTACTTGAAGTACCCACCAACTGAATACGGATTGTCCAATGACAGATCATATGTACTTATCCGTGCTGTATAATATTTATTTTCACGTTTGTATCTGTTTTTACTTATATGCGTGAATATTTATATGAAGCAAGATATTTTTAAACATTTATATTTTATATAATTCTTATAGTATCAATATAATGTATTTTAATTGTTAAAGATAAGATTGAATATTAACAATATATTGGATATGCTGATGTTAAACCAGCCTACCTTGGTAAACGCTAGACAACCTTAATAATATGCAGGTACCTAGACTTGGACAGAGGCAGGTCCAATACGGACAGGCACACGTATAGGAGGTACTTACCTCATATGCATACTTCCATTACCAATAACCGTAAGATGGAAGGTCCCAACTTGGTAACCTAAAACAACAGTAACCGTGACTAAACTATGATACCTAACATGAGCTTAAAATTAGCCGGATTACATAGAAGTGTACTTGTATTACAAGGGCAGCACTTTTAACTTTGACAACAATAAGATAGTTGGGATGAAGGTAGATTACAGATGAGGCAGAAATCTTATCATTCACAAGCTACAAGCTAAGGAAGAGTGTGCTGCATGCTGACTTATTCTAGAATTTGAGGCGACAGGATCGCTTAATAGGGCTGAAGAACAGCGCATCTACCTGCATAAGTTCTCCTGTACGTTTGTTCTTAGGTACCCTCACAAATACGTACGGTGGCCGTCATTTCCAAAGGGTAGGCCAAATCAACACCCATAAACTCCTCGCTATTTTAGGTACATTAGCAGTTCTAGCTAGGTAGGTAGTATACCCCTTTCATTACATGAATAATAAAATCATCCTCCATTTTCCCTTCTCCATTATTTCAGCCTTTATTGCCAACAATTACTTTATCCCTTCAGTTGTTATTTTTACGCACAACAGTAGAATGCAAGTAATTGAATCGCATTTTATTGCTTGATAATTCCTAATAGGTTGACTATTGAAGAACAGGAGGAGGCGACACGAAACAGGTCTAGGTAATCTATCCATGTATTTGGTAAGAAAAGGAATCCTTTCTACCGTTAGCCGCATCCTAACCTCAATACCTATAGCTTAATGGCTAGTTGTCAAACAGATAGGCTATACTCCTATAGCGGCAATGTGGAATAAAGATGACTTGTCTCTTTTGCGGCACGACTCATGCATCGGAATCCGCTCTTAAGCAGCTATGCTTTCAATCCGATTCTTCATGCCCTCGCATGCCCTCGTATACAAACACGCACATAATAGGACAATGCATTGTCGGTCAAATGAGACCGCCCCAACACTAACGATGTTCTGTACAGGAACGTGGCGGACTTTGTGCTACGTACGAAGTCTTGGTACCTGCTTAAAGGCGGTCTAGCCCACTGCCCAAAGATCGGCACTGCAGAGATTCCCCATAATATCATTTCTCCTCAGATGGCATTCAGTGGCTTTTCCTCGAGAGTCACAAAAGGAATCGTCTACCTGCGTCAACCCGGGCTGCCGGGGAACGCGTTGTTCTGTAACACGAGGCAGAGGAACAGCCATGATCATAGCCTACACGGTCCCAAAAAGCTCTCCAAATATCGCCTTTTCTCTCTATACGTCTGATGGTTGCTCGTCGTCACTAAGCATCTAAAGCATCTAAGGCTATTTTTTACTTACAAGCTCCTAGTCGGTGGCTTCGGGTATTACATTGAAATACATGGCGGTTTCTTCCGTGCGCAGCCACGCAATGTAATCCCGGCGTTGATCTGGTTTAGCAGACAGGGGATAGCGAGTTAAGACCCATTCAGGCGCGCTAAAACGTGTTTCAAATTGAACATGGGACGCTCTCATTCAGCCACGAACCGATTCAGACAAATTATTCGACATCACCATTCTTTCTAGAAGTCTACGTAAGCCCACAAGACGTAGGCATCGAGGATGATCTGCTTACGCCATGCGATATCTTATCTTGAGCAAAAGAAGATATTCTTGATTATGCAACGGTTTTAGGCGCACCTGATCGTGCTTAAATTCCGAATCTACGGATTTATTTCCATGGTCCCCTCACAACAGTTGGCTCTTACATTAGCTGTCTCTTTACTGGATGTTAAGGAGTTGAAATAAGACCCCTGAGAGGTGGCGTTCGGTAAAGTATCCTAGAAAGTGTCAAACCTGACAGGCAGCTCTTTTTTTAGTCGTTATTATAAGAAGGACGTTATTATCAAGTTTGTCGTCCCATCATCCGTCGAACTTGTCTTGCGCAATAACAGAGCGCATGGTCTATCCCAACACGTCCCCGGATCGGTCCAGGGTCGATATCCTATTGTGTAAATCAAGAACAACCGATGAGATTAGTAGCGGATCGCTTACAACACATCGCGCCGTTTCAAGATTGCTCATCATGTGCCACCACACTCACTTGAGACTTACCACCATCCGAACCTCAGCCCTTGTCAACCCAGTAGGTCGCGATTGTATCATCGACCCGCCCTTACAGCGTGCATACACACATCATCTCGGGTGCGCCTCATGAAGCATGGATAGCAGCTATTGTCAACTCTCTCGATGTTACCTTTTATTATTAAGTCGGTCCCGGGGAAGTGGATGCAAGCGCAGCTACTCGTCGCAATGTGGGATAGCTAACCCACATGGGAATTATAATTTTGGCAGTTTGTTTCTCTATTCGTCCTCACGTCAAGGCCCCTGACCCCTTTCATTTCGACGTCTACTTAGTACTCACGCTATACATGCAATTACTATCTCTACCTAGGCTGAATCGTCGATCTACCTAATAACGGAGGCAACCATTTATGTCTCGGACCGCATGATGTGAGTGCGGTGAGATTGCGCCTGGAACCGACGCGTACGAGCCTTCTCGCGTGCTATTATGCCCCTGCCGTTACCTATAAAATTCCATGTTTGCGATCCAGGATTCGGGACCTCTGGGCTGGCGGTAGAAACGCGGCATTGAGTTGCCGTGCCAGTATTTCACTAGACGCCTTGCGTATCGTCTAATAACTATCATAAGCTACCGGGGATTCTTAAGTTGATATTTATATCATACCTATCTGGGTAGAACGTAGTAACTATACGATAACTTTACATTCTTCCGAGCGAAACCGAAACTCGAAAACATCGGGATCAGGACAGTTCAATAAGATTTTACTCAGATCTACTATTAAAGTTAAGCGGACGGATGCCACAACGGGTATTAACAATAGTGTGATAGAGCGCACGGTTAGTGGATAATAATACCCGATCTAGATCTTAGGACCCCAAAGCTCAGTCGTCCATAGATCAGTAACGCCAAGAAAAAGGAATATCCGTAGAATGGTGATAGCGAAAATACGAAACCAGATCGCAATGCGACGTGGCCAACAACGCGGCCAGCCAAATAACGTCAAACGGTCATACATTATGCTAGAGCTTACATACATGTATGTATGAACAACTCCTAACTGCCTCAACCCCTTAGTCCTACGATCCACCTCTTAAGCCCGTCGATCATTTAGATTGCTGTACATCATCATAAGAACCGGTCTAAGTAGACGCATAAATATTTCCGGTTGTTCTTAATTGCATATCGTCGACTTTTTGATAGAATGTAAGTTATTCGATGATCAACGATCACTATTACCGAGTTATAGGGATAGAGGCTAAATTGCATAGGCAATCCGTTCTGTGGACAACTTTCATGATACCTACCGAGTCGACGATCTCATGTGTATAAATGGGTAGCTCCCACCGAGTCCCGCCTTCGGTCAGAGATGGTAGATGAAAATAACTTATCTGATTGTCTCTGTTTGCTGGACTTGTCCAACGTCCGTTCATCTATCCTATACATACTCCTCCTTACTCCCTACTTCCTTCTATAGTACCAAGAAAGGGAAACATCCCGAAGAAATGCTAGGCACGACATGCTTCGAGCAGCTCACATGACGAAAACTGCCCAGAAACAAATATGTACGTACGCGTATAGCTAGGCCACGTGCGCACGAGTATATTATCGCCAAGCAACTCAACCCTTACATTGCCTTCTTGCCTAACTTACACACTCCATATTCTTGTTTTTGACTTATGAGATGAGCTCCTTGCATGGGGAATACATATGGAAGATCGTCACCGGGCAAGCGCGGCCGCAGAAACCTGCGGCCTTCCGCGCGGGACGGCGTGGACGCGAATCGAATCAGCGCCAGCCAGCGCCTCCAGGCACCGGGAAGAGAGGGCTGGCGATGCCGCACGTAGCCTAAGGTTGCGTCTGAGCATAGCATGACCTGGTCTTGGGGAATGAGAAATTCCCCGACGGAAACGGTTGGTTGCCGGACTGTTGCGACTTGTCCTACACACCGTTGCTGGAGCCGGAATTATGCGTTGGGTACCTAAAGAGGTAGGTAGACGGCACGCACATATGTCCCTTTCCCTTTTCCCTTTTTCGTCCAATGCTATAGGGCCCGTACAGACGGACCCGCGCACAAAAGCTGATATTAACAGCTAGGTAAGCTAGCTTGTGCTCTCATAACACAGATTTATGCGGAGTTTAATGGGCTATTATAAACGAGATGTTTCTTCATAATAGTGTTCTCTATAGCGTCATGAACAGTATACGGGCTCTTTAATCTACATATCCAGAGCTAAATACGGTAAGGATAGAGAGTAACTTGAAATATCTATTATGAAATGGAGATACTGTCGTAAAGATAACTATAATTTCACATAGCCCCAGGTCGAAGAATATGGTCCTAGACCATATAAGTGGCCTAGCTATAAAACTAAGAGGTCACTCATCTATAATAATGGCAAATATAGGAACTACGTAATATCAAGCCCCCGTGCCAAGGTTTCTATCCCGGGGTTAAGAGCTGCATATTCGGACTATACAATATCCAATCCTATCAGCACACGAGTAATTCCTGTCGACGAGCCATGGCTTGTTCTGAGACATCTCATACTTACATACATTAAATGCACATTACCTATGTATGCGCTCCACAGCCAAACCCAGGCCAAGCTCGAATAACCCGACCAACCAGCGCATCCCACCGAACTCGACCCGGAAGAGTAAGCCAGGTAGGTAGGTAGGTAGGTCAGTTACCTGCCAAGCTAGCAACGCCACCCACTCACGCCGACGTAGACTCCGACTCCGACTCCGACTGCGGCTCCCGCACCATAATCGTCAGCACGGCCTTGCCCCGCCTCCCCGCCTTCGCTAGGTCGTACTCTAGCCGGTCCACGGGCTGGAAGCCGAGGCGCTGGTACAGCGGCACGGCTAGGGGTAGGGCTTCGAGGTACGCGGGGATGCGCTCCTTGTCCGCGAGGGCGAGGACGGGGCGGATTAGGGAGGCGGCGATGCCTCGGCCGTGGTGGGAGGGGTCGGTGCAGATTATGGAGAGGACTGGGGGGGTTGTTGTTGTTAGTGTGAGGTTTGGAGGTGTGTGTTGGGATAGGGGAGGGTAATGAGAAAATGAGAGAAAAGGGGGTAAGTATAAACAGGAGTAAACATTCTCACATACCCAACTTCTCATGCGCCTTCCACTTCTCCCCCATACTCTCCAGCCCGTCGAAAAACTCCTCATAAAGCTTCTCATCCGCACCCTCCGGCGCCTTTAACTTCTTCTTCTTCTTCCCCTGCACGCCTCCCCCTGTCTTCCCATCCCCCTCCAGCCCAACCTCATCGTAAACCACAAACCCCTCCCGCAGCCCCTCCATCGTCCTCGGCGGATCCCACTTCGCGAACGCGACGACCGCGCCAGAAGACGCATTCGCGATTTTAAATTGCTGCGTGCCCGGGTCGCTGAAGCGGCCCCGGATCCGGGACGCGTGCCATGTGCGCATGACGTCGGGGGATGGCGACCACCAGTATGTGAACTCGGGGCTGGCGGAGAAGGCGTCCATGACTGTGTTGGTTGTGGGGGGTTAGTTAACCTGGTTGGTTTCCTTGGTGTAGATGCTGTCTCTTGATTTGAGGTAGGGAGATAGGTAGGTAGGTACCCTCTACATGTCTATACGGACTAAGAGTAGCCAGGTATCTACATAAGCCTCCAAAGATGCCGTATACGCTACACGGTAGGGACCGCTTAAAGCCCAGGCTTAGGTTTTGAAGGCGTACTTTATAAAAAAGAAAATATATATAAAAAAACTCACTATATTATTTAGGTAATTAGTAAAATAATCTAACATATATAGGTAGGTACGCATATCATCAACTTCAAAAAACCAACACACAAACTCACCAAACAGAAGTCATCCCCGGCGTATCTTCCGGCGCACACCGGGCCATCACAAACCCCTCCGGCAACAAATCCGACGGCTGCGGGAACGGAAGCGCCATATTCGTCCCACCAGCGCTATAATGACAGCGACCCCAGGTCGAATTTAGTATCCCCGTAAAAAGAAGTCGGAAGAGCTTAGACGTAAAATAAAGACGGCGTTGGTATTCTTAGTTTTGCTAGCATTCCCTCCTGAGCCCTTATATCTGATCAGATATACATATGTAAGAAAATGTTTGGTTCGTTTATTTATCGCGGATATAAATATAAGCAGGTATGTGGTGGACATAAAAGACATACGTGTTACGGCCTGTTTTATCACCTCGGTGCGCCCTTTGTGCTGTCAAGAGTGGGAAGTATGGCGACTAGCCAGGGGGGTCCTTTTATTAGGTAAGCATACGTCGAGATATATCATGCACAGCTGTGATTTGCGTATAGGGCATGCATAAGTAAGTACCTACCTAGGTAGGTGTGTAGTTAATACCACCTATCTAGGACTTATTTTACCAAATATACCAGCTATACGAACACGGCAAGGCATCAACGTCATTCATCAGTAAGTCTATCATCTATAGAGTGAGTATGGTATGTCTAGTCATTGCACAGATTCAAGAGTTACATATATACAACAGGATATACATCTAACCTAGGCACGTATGTCCATCCTGAGGAGAAGTTATTTACTCCTCTACTTCCGGCCAGATGTCTCCGTCTACATCTGAACCGATAGAATCAATGTCGAAAGAGTCCTCCTTGCCCAGGATATCTAACTCCTGGCGCGAACGCAGCCGTATCATCGACTTTATAGCTCGGACTACCTGTACGCAGTCCTTCTCTATCTCATGGAGCGTCGAAGCAAATTCTGAAGACCAAACGCTGAGCCTGTCTAATTCCATGTAGCCTCGCGTGAGGTGATACAACGTTGTAGAGATGGGCCGGAGATGTCGTGGGCTTGATCCTTTTCGCCGGAGGTCTAGGGGTAGCTTGTTTTTCACGCTTTCTCTATGGCGTACTAGAAACCATCCAGTCCAGTTTGGCATTAGAATCTCTTCGCAGGTGGCGAATGCTTCCTTGTAGTCTTTCAACTGAACAAGTGCTTGTATATAGAAGTTCCAGTTTTGGCTGTCTAGCTCAAATCCTGCCTCACGAACTTCCCGGACTATACTCCGGATGCCGGCGGCATCTCCCTTTTCGAAGAGAAGCTTCTGCATAATCATGAGACCACTTGATAGTACGTATCGATATTTGGCCGAGACTTTTGGCGTGTGAGGAAGCTCTTCGACGTAATCGGCTGACCGTGCATCCTGCTTTGCAGTTTCGAAGAGCAGCTCCCATGTCGTTGTGACACGATCGTAATGCGCTTCTTGGAAATCTGCACGCATAAGAGAATTGAGCATCGTCACAGGCAAAACTCCGTCCAATTCTTCATAGCCTTGGAAAATGTAACGGTAAAGGTCGACAAGCTCCCGAGCCCCAGCGAAATCTTTGAGCTCGGTTAGCATGGAAACCATAGTACTAAAATGGGACTTCTCGGCATTCTGCTGCAACAGCTCCCCTGCCTTGCTGTGCAGGCGCCCAGGTATTAGTTTGTCTAATTTCTTTCGTCGGTTTAGACCATATATTCTGTAAAATGAACGGAACGCTTCGCCAAGCCACTCCGTTGGAGTTAAACGGGCTCGTTGCCACGGTGGTAGACTCCTAAATTGCCCAAGCGTTTGTGTTAATAGGAACAGACTCTCGGATGAGCTGGGAAACCCATAGTCCTGCATCATCTTGTCGAGCCGCAGGACCGCCCCAGGCTCTCCCGTCACGAGTAGGGCACCCATGACAATATGAAAGTGCTCGACGGTAACCGGGAAAATATTATCCCTCAAAGCCGCCGTTAGGAGATTTAGAGCATGAAGAGATTGTCGACATATAGAGAGGCCTATAAGTAACTGCTGGTAGGTGTAATAATTGTAAGGGATTTCCTTGTCGGCCATAAGAGTAAGAAGTCTGTTGATGGCAGCAAGATCTCGGCGAATGGCGTGGTAGTAAATGAGCTTGTTCCACATCTGGGTATCAACAATCCCTTTACTCGCGGCGCGAACACATACGTCTTCAGCAGATTGCATATGGTCATTCCGGCAGTACGCATCGACGATGGCACCAAGAATGGCCGCGTCCGCTTGTCCACCAAGACTCAATAATTGGCGGTATAGGTCAATTGTGAAACCTAGATCGCCTCTATCACCCGTCATTTGCATCATCGTCCCGTAGCTATAACGGTCCCATTTTCCCGCTGCCACCAGGTTTTCGAAGGTAGATATCGCTCCATCGTAATCACCTGCCTTGACATAAGAGTTGAGAAGGATGTTCCAATGGTGTGTACTATGTTCAAAGTGGAATAGCTTCGAGACATCATCAAAGATTTGCTGCGTTTCAATAACTTCGCCTCGGACGGCGTGCACGTGCAGGAGGTGTGCAAATATATCGTCGGATTGAAGGGCAGGAAGTTTAGGATCGTCGCGGTACAGATTGATAAACTTACGCCAGATCCCGTAGACGGGCTCTGTGTCTCCTCGAGACGCATAGAAAGCCAAGTATCTCTGAAATGCCCTGAAAGAAGGAACGGTATGAAACTTATGCCAATCGCCCCATAGCATTTCTATCCCAGCGTACTTCACTGATACTGGCACAGTTAAGTTATTATAGGCCTTGAACATTTCGTGAAGAACGGGATGGCTCGGCATGCTCCCAGGTGAATCACGATAGATACGATATACCTCAATGCCGAGATGTTCCTTGCCTCTATAGATTACAGTTCGTAAAAATTCCTCGAAAGCTAGAGGGTCTTTCGTTATGCTGAGCAGAGGGATAACTTGAGCGTCAGTACACGACAAAAGAGCCCTGCGGACTAGAATCCTCTGAAGTGAGTCTAGCGCCTCCCAACTAAACTCGGCGCTGTCAAGTTCTCGAAGTATTTGCCGACCATTAGCCGCGAAGTCGAAGGCTTTTTCAGCAAGGCCAGGTACGAGAGCAACATGTTTCAATTGTGACGTTATACCCTCAAAATTCCATCTCCCGGCCATGTCAGGGTAATACTTTTGTATATCTGTTAATACGGCGAGGTGAGAAGAAGGAGCTGCATTTTTTAAGTGCGACGAAATGTCTTCAAAGTCCCATCGTTTTGTCATCCTGGGGTACAGTCTCCATACATTCTTCAACAGCTCCAGCCCCGAGGACCGTAACGCAGTGGCAAGTAGCAAATCAAGGGAATCGATTAAGGGGGGGAGATCGATGGCACTATGCTCCAGCCCTTTGGTGAATATCTCAAGCGCCCGATTGGCGTTCTGTAGGCCAATTTCGGCCGTAACGCCCGCGACGAAGATCTGGCTGGTCCATTGTGATAGAGGTATTTGGTGGAATAGCTCCGAAACTTTCCACGAGGCGGATAATCGATCACTTTTCGAGAGAAAAAGTAGCACTTGTCGTATGTAAATGGCTTGCGACGGCTCATCTAAGGCCTTATAGTTATGCCAAACACGATCGGCATCTTCAAAGTCGCCCTTCTTCAGCAAGTCCTCGAGAATCGTAATATGGTCGCCGTCTATATCGAAATGGTTAAGACCTCCCGCCATAACATCAGACTGTGTCTGTCTCTCATTAATTTGGACGCCCCTCTCTTCATCCATCTCCTCGATAGCTACACCCCGAATTCTGCCCGATTCTGTCGCCTCGCTGTCTTTGTAGGTGACGCCATCTGGGTTAGCCGATACGCTGCTATCGGGTTCGTTTGCTTTCAGGCTAGCGGTGGCTTCAGATCCGGAAGGACGAACCTGGCGCTTAGAAAATGACGAGGTATATAGGCGAGGCATGATTTTTCCAAAACGCTGTCCATAACGGAAGCTATTAGGACGGGCAGAGACGAGTGAGGCCGGAGTTAGGCGGCGCATCAGATTCATGGCGCCGCTTGGATATAGAAAATCGAGAAGAAAGGCTGAAGCGCTCAGGACGGAACCATTATTCTCTTCGGGTACAGAGCCCGTGGTAAGATTAAAAGTACCATGCATCAAAGCTTGCCAGGCAGCAGTAAGTTCTATGTCAGCGGCTCCGTGCTGCCAAAAGGCGTTTCGAAGCTGCCTCGAAGTCCGAAAGGACTGGGCGGCGCCGGGAACTACTCGATGGAAACCGCATGGTTCCAAACTGGCGGCCGTCTTCTCCAGCATCGGGAGGGGATGGTCTATAACAACACAACACAACAGTCGGCAAGTCGAAAAGATTGGACGGGGTATTAGGTTATGTTATTATCCTTCAAGACATCCTCGAAACTGTAATCGCATGGACGTGAGTATGTATAGTTGAAAAGTATAGGTCAAGGTTGTAGAGCTCCTAAGGTTCTGGCGCAAATTTATTAGGATATAAAGTTGAAGAAATTATTAGGTACTTACTATACAGCATCTCATACTGTAGTCCAATTAGACTAGACTCATATAGTCTCTGTCCCTAGTTCACATATATAGAATAGCCAAGTATAAGTAGTAGAGATTGAGCATCATGTCTGGCTTAGGTCGCGATAAAAAAGATGTAGTCTTGGTTTAAAAATTATACTTTGCTTTACTTTTTGGCGTATCTTTTTTTCTTCTTTTTTTTTTGTTGCAAGGTTTATCGCTAATCTGCCCCACTTGAGCCACAAGCATTACCTAACCTGCTAACTCAATCTGACCCCACGTCAAACCGAATTTTGATCGTTGGAGATTGGGAGATTGAAAGCTGGCCCAGCCCAAAAACCAAAAACCCCACCACATCAATCCACCAGTCCACCAGAGACGTACATTTGATTTCAACCCTCACTACTTCGTACCGCATATACATTAATTTGGCTGTCGACTGTCGACGCCTCGATAATATCGGTACATCATGGATATCACAAATTTTGTGGTTTCGGCCAGAAATCAGGCGCTTTTATATGGCGACTATACTACTTACCACAAGCAGCTGGTCAAGAAGCTACACAAATGTCGAAAGAGGTTGAATATTGCTACTAAGAACCGCGGCAAGTTTACTAAGAAAGACCCCATCACGGCCGAGGATCTGTCAGAGAACCACGAGTATGCGCAATCTGGCCTATTAGTTGTTGTTGTTGTTTTTTTTGAATATCGCTGACGGGAACGAGGTACCTTCATCTGCAATTGTTGACGGCCGAGCGTGCTTGGGCACATGGTATGAGGTTCAAGGCCGTTCACTCCACCGATACCAAAGGCATTACAGGCAGAACCCGCTCCCATATCATATCGAGACTTGATAAAGGTGCCCGCGCCGCTGAACATCTCGTACAAATATTATCCGAAAGCTCTGTGACAGGAGCTAGCGACACTGACATCCTAGAAGCACGTGCGTATGCTTCTATGATACGAGGCGCCACCCAATTCGAAAAACAGAGCTGGGAGCCATGTCTACAGAGCTATGCGACCGCCCGAATCATATACACAGCGCTCGCTACATCTATGAAAGGGGACATCTTTAAAGACTTGTTGGCCGACACCATCGACCCTTCTATTCGATATGCGGCCTATCAGACCAAAATCTCAAGGATCCAGACGATACCGACCATCGCCAGAAAGGCGTTCCCTTCTTCTGACTCTGCCTTGGTCGAGCAAATAAATAAATTAGCCCCGGATCTACTTAACAAGAGCGATTTTGATACTCAAAAGGGCCAAGTCGGTGCCCCGAACGCTCCTCAGACCATCACATGGAGGTCCCGAGAAGTCAAGATTGAGGATGCAGCTATCGCGGTTGCGCTGACCTCGATAGATACAGCAACCGCACGACTGACGGAGAAATTGGCATCTTCCGACGTTATATTACCAAAAGAGATGGCTGCTGCATACGATGAAGTGCTCATAGCTAGTCAGGATGCGGTAGATGCCACCAAACACGCTATCGACGAACTGAAAGAGGAGGGCGTATCCCAGGACGACGCTCGAATACAAAGTCTACAGATAACTCGCACCGCGGTTAACTACCAGGTTATCAGCTGGAGAATCGGTCGCAATCGAGTCTTGAGTGGAGAGCACGACGGCGCCTTGTTAGACTCGGCTCCTACAACTACTCGAAAATCCAAGAAAGATGCCAGCTCTCGAAAGCCTAGGATAGAGCCACCCGGCAGGAAGATATCTCGGCTCAAAGACAAAGTTGTACTTTACGATTCTACGCTGCAGAGCATTGAGTCCATTAAAGAATTACCTGGCGTTGCGGCTGACAGAGACCTATCAGAACAATTAAGCGCAACTGCTAAATATTTCCATGCCCTCAAGTCAGTATCTACAGTTCTTATACTCGTATTTTCGCGCGAATACTTATAGACAATATAGATCTCTCTCCATTGCGAGGTCGCACTCGCTAGCCAACCAATCGCGCAATGCTTTAGTTCTTACCAAGCACGCATTTGACGAGTGTGAGCAATCAGCTGCGTTTTTCTCCAAGAAAGAGGCCTCTTCTTTAGAGTCCTCGCCCCGTAACATAGAGATCCGGCCAGCCGATATCCAATTCCTTCACAACCTCTTAAAGGGAGAGCTTCAAAAATGCAGAGCGATTGTTGAAATAGATAATCTACGGCAAAAGACGACGAATGCGACCCCGCCAAGCGCAAGAGCTCCGCTCGTGCAACGCTTATTCGAATACCCAGCGGAGGGTGTCGACTTGGAAAATCTCGTCGAGTTCCCACCCAAGGTGAATCCTATTCCGGTGAAGCCTTTATTCTTCGATGTTGCTTGGAATTACATAGATTACCCTGGAAAGGCCCCAGCTGCTGCCCCCGAGCCCGAGCAGAAGCTGGAACAGCCGGCGCAACAGCAGAAGAAAGGATGGTTCGGGTTTGGAAGATAGTTCAGACCAGCCTGTTATCCTCCAATGCCTACGTGAAGTAGACCATAAGTCAGCAATTCATATAAGACATTGGATTAAATCTCATGTATCCTTGCTAGTATTCATTTCTGTGACTGTGCCCCTAGGGGTTAACGAAGGGGGTAGTGCACTAATCTTACTAAAGGGCGGTTTGCAACAGTGCATGCCTAGTATTGAATTCATACATCCCTTGCCATTACCACAGTCCCTAGATATCCTAGATAACTCCTAGAATCCCACAAACTCGACGACAATTTTAGTTCTCTCATCATGGCTCATCATGGTAGGTCACCTCTTTGCAAGAAATGCCAGTGGGCCAATGACGCCCGACTACGAAAACAGCCCGCGGCTGGGCTATCCCTCACAGTCGTCAAAGATGTTGGCAAGCACCAGCGAGCTACCCATTTTCATTACTGAGAACCAGTCGCGACGCACGGTCTCTCTACGTCTCTTCATCTGGGCCCTCGTTTGCTTTACCGCCGTAGCGTTGGCGCTGGGTCTAGGTCTCGGGCTCGGTTGTGCCCGATATAGAGCCCTCTATACTACACCGTTTCCCCCGCTATCTAATTACACCATCCGCTACGGTATCCCTGAGAACCTCGACTTCGTCCCCACAGAGAGGCTTATTAATAAGCGGGAGCTCGAGCTGGATACGAACTTCATCGTTTCGAGCGAGCCTCGGGTCCGCGAGTTCGAGTTCAATGTGTCGGTGGCGCTGGCCGCGCCGGACGGGTTCCGGAAACCGATGGTGTTGGTTAATGGGCAGTCTCCGGGGCCGCTGATTGAGGCGAATGTGGGGGATATGATTCGCGTTAGGGTTAATAACCATATGACGAATAGTAGCACGTCGATACACTGGCACGGCATGAACCAGATCGGCACGCCGTGGATGGACGGCGTGGCGGGCGTTTCGCAGTGCGGGATCCCGGCCGGTCAGGGGTTTATGTACGAGTTCCGGGTGGTGGATCAGAGGGGCACGTTTTGGTGGCATGCGCATTCGTCGGTACAGTATAGCGACGGTGCTTACGGAGCAATTGTTAGGAGTAGAAGTCCTTGTGGATGTGGCCGTTGTCTAACTGAGATATAGATTATACGCGATCCAGGAGAACTGGTACCTAAGACAGACGACGAGAAGCTCCTGTTTGTGTCGGATGTATATCACACCTACGGATCCGTTGTAAGGCGACCAACCTCCTTGATATTTGATCTATTCTAGACTTGTCTGCTAACTACTAGCCTCGGTTACTCGGACTAATATAGATATTAACAAGCTACCTTAACTCAACGTCGAAATGGGTCGACTGGGAATCAGGCGTCGAGCCACTTGCCGACAATGTCCTGCTCAACGGGCAGAACACATACAACTGCTCCGTCACATCGACCACATACGCACCATCCGCAGACCAGCCCTTCGAGAATAACTGCACGGGCGGGCACCTCTACACAACAAAAGTACGCCGTGGAAAGACCGTACGCTTACGGCTAATCAACGCCTCCTCGTTCCTATCGTACTGGTTCAGCATCGACAACCACACGGTATCCATCGTCGAGCTAGACGGCGTTGAAATCGAACCTATTTCCGCCCGTGGCGTATACTTGAACCTCGGACAGCGAGCCTCTGTAATCCTAACTGCAGACCAGCAACCCGGTAGCTACTACGTGCGTGCTTCGCTGCCGAAAACGTGCTTTCTGCCGTACGCGCCGTACAATAGTTCGGGGCTCGAGGCAGCAGGGTACGGCGCTAAGGGGATAATATCGTATTTCGAAGATAGTCAGCAGGAGACAGGCGATGGTGATGCTGGCCCGGTACTTGAGCCCATTGGGGTTGCTGGAAATACGTCGAACCCGTATGGAGTGGAGAATAACGGGCAAAGGGGAGACGTGTGGGAGGGATGCGATGACATGCCATTCGATATGCCGAAGCCGATGCGAAGGCAGCCCGCGGTGAATGTAAGCGAGGCAAATACGCATTACCTCGAGTATGCGTTCCGCCAGGCGCAGGAGGTCAATCGCATTTTCGTCAACAAAGTCAGTTCTCTATACCTACCTACCTACCTACCTTTCTCTATATCCCACCACACTCCCACCCCCTCGACCAACCACTCCCGTCCCTTAAAAAGTCTTACAATATAAGAGCCTAATCAACAAACATATCTAATCTAACTACCTAAACTAACTAACTTACGAATAGACTTCCTACCTACCCCTCCCCGCCAACGCCACCCTCTGGAAAGCCCTAGACCAACAGTTCACCCCCGACAGGTCAAACTCGTATAATAGCTGGGACTTCGGTCTCAACCAGCAAGTCCTACTAATCCCAGACGCTACCCAGGGCGCTCAGATCGTCATCAACTCGCTTGACGCGATGGAGCACCCGTGGCACATGCAGTAAGCCCCCCCCCTCCTATAGGCTTAAAATCCAAGTCAGCGGTATACCCAACTAACCTTCGACAGTGGTATGTAATATATCCCCTAGAGAGAAGAAGTACGTTAGTTAAACTAACACGTACCCACCCCTACAGGCCACACCTTCCAAGTCGTCGGCTGGGGCAAAGGCCTCTTCGGCAGCAGTACCAACTCTACGACCTGGAACCTCGCGAACCCGATGCGTCGCGACACCGTCACCGTGCCGCCTTTCAACCACGTCGTTCTACGCTACGCCGCCGATAACCCGGGGCTCTGGGCGTTGCACTGCCATGTTGCATGGCATATTGAAGGTGAGTTTACCTAACTGTCTAGCCTACCTACCTGATCTATTTCGTCTTCTTTTTATTCCCTTGTAGCTCATCTATGATCTACCTTTACTCCTCTCTCTTTACCCCTAATTTTAATACATTTTCTTCGTCCCAATAGTAATAAGAAGGAATGGTTAAGCTACTAATACTAATACCACACATCTGTATAGGCGGCATGTTTCTCACCTTAGCCGAGCGGCCATCCGATCTCGTTACGCTAGTTAATCAGATGGATCCCGACACAAGACGTAAAAGCCAGAGCTTCTGCGGCGCGGCTACATAATACCGACATAAATCTACGGAGCTAAGTAATGACTTTACACCGGAGTATACTCGGACGATCTAAGGAAGTCCAGCTTAATCCTATCTAGACCTGTATATAATAGAGGAAATTTCATCACAGTATAATGGAATCTACAAATCAAATCATGAGAGGGGATGTTATTTTATTATTTTGTCCTTAGTCGTGTCGTAACGTCCTATATACATTGCTCCAGCCGGAGCCCGCCTGCCCATGTAATGCCCTTTGTGTCACCAGAAACCGACGTGAAAACATGAGACATATCTTCAGCGTGGAGTTAAAATGTATAAAAAAAGAGTATAGCTTTCCCCAGATCTCAGAACGCCGCTCCCGCCCGCAAATTCATGAAGGCACCGCCGAGGAGTAAGTAAGTGGGTGGTAGTAGTAGGGGGTAGTAAAGGGGTAATGTAATGGCAGGCGGAAACTTTTTAGGGGGCGGTAAATATGAGTACAGGTTAATGTACAGTAGTAGAGCACTGAAAAGCTCGTAATAATTTCCGCCTCGAGGGTAATTAGTGTAAATCGAGAATGCTCTGCCTACAACAGGCTATTTAAGGCTTCTTCTCATCCTCAGGCTTGGCCTCCGAAGAGCCAGCCTCGGAGCTGCCGGACTCGCCGGACTCAGAGCGGGCCTTGTGCATCTTGTCGAAGAGGTTTAAGCTAGCCATCTGCAGCTCATCGGTCTTCTCCTTGATCTCGGCGGCGGTAGCGGTACCCTCGCCGGACTGGCTCTTGCTCACGAATTCCCGTAGAGAAGTGATCTTCTCCCGGATTCCGTCGGCCTCGGTCTTGTCAAGTCTGTCGGCAAACTCGTTGAGGGCCTTCTCGGTGTCGTTTAGGACGCTATCGGCGCGGTTGGCAGACTCAATAGCGGCCTTGCGCTCCTTGTCTTCCTCGGCGTATTTCTCAGAGTCCTGGACCATCCGCTCGATCTCAGAGTCGGACAGACCAGAGCCGGAAGCGATGGTGATGGACTGGTCCTTGTTGGTGCTCTTGTCCTTGGCGTGAACGTGGACAATAGAGTCGGCGTCAATGTCGAATGTGACCTCGACTTGAGGAACACCACGGTGCGCCGGGGGAATGCCAACTAGCTGGAAGTTACCAAGAAGCTTGTTATCCTTAACCAATTCACGCTCGCCCTGGTACACCTTGATCTCGACAGCAGTCTGGAAGTCGGCGGCAGTAGAGAAGACCTGGGACTTCTTGGTGGGAATAGTGGTGTTTCGGTTGATTAATCGGGTGAACACACCACCGAGGGTCTCAATACCGAGGGAAAGAGGTGTGACATCCAGAAGCAGAAGATCCTTGACCTCACCAGACAGAACGGCACCCTGGATAGCAGCACCAATGGCAACAGCCTCGTCAGGGTTGACAGACTTAGCGGGATCACGACCGAAGATGCTCTTAACCGACTCGGCAACCTTAGGCATACGAGTCATACCACCGACAAGGATAACCTCCTGGATATCCTTGGCCTGTAGGCCAGCGTCCTTAAGGGCCTTGCGCACGGGTTCGGTGGTCTTCTTGATTAAGGGGTCCATCATGCTCTCAAGCTGGGATCGAGTCATCTTAGTGTTAATGTGCTTGGGGCCGGAAGCATCGGCAGTGATGAAAGGCAGGCTGATATCGGTCTGGAGAGATGAAGACAGCTCAATCTTGGCCTTCTCAGCAGCTTCTCGGATTCGCTGGATGGCCATTCGGTCGTTAGACAAGTCAATACCGGAGTCGTTCTTGAACTGCTGGACGATGTGACGGACTAGGTGAATATCGAAATCTTCACCACCCAAGTGAGTGTCACCGTTTGTCGACTTGACCTCGAAGACACCGTTCTGGATCTCCAAAACCGAGATATCGAAAGTACCACCACCGAGATCGTACACAGCAACAATTTTGTCGGCCTCTTTTTCGAGACCGTAAGCTAGAGCAGCGGCAGTGGGTTCGTTGACAACTCGGAGAACGTTAAGACCAGCAATCTGACCGGCATCCTTGGTGGCTTGACGCTGCGAGTCGTTGAAGTAGGCGGGCACGGTAACGACAGCGTTCTTAGCTGGCCTGCCCAGATAGGCCTCAGCGGTTTCCTTCATCTTGTTAAGGATGAAGCCACCGATCTGCGACGGAGAGTATTTCTGGCCTCGAGCCTCGACCCAAGCATCGCCATTGGTGTGTTGAACAATCTTGTAAGGAACCTCCTTGATATCTCTTTGAACCTCGGGATCAGTGAACTTTCGTCCGATTAATCGCTTAGTGGCAAAGAGTGTATTCTCAGGGTTGACGACAGCCTGTCGCTTAGCAGCGACACCAACTAATCGTTCGCCGTCTTGTGCGAAAGCAACAACAGAGGGTGTTGTTCGAGCACCTTGACTGATAGTCAGTATACTGTCGCAAAGATATGCGCTGACAAGGGTATCTCACCTTCTGCGTTCTCAATTATCCTGGGCACCTTGCCCTCCATAACAGCAACCGCCGAGTTTGTGGTACCTTTGGAAAATTATGTTAGTAAAATTCCTCAAACGCACATAGCAGTGGGGTTTTCAAACTTACCAAGATCGATACCGATGACGGCACCTTGAACTTTTCCTTCCGTCGACTCATATCGAGCGAAGCTAGATCCTAAAGGCTTTCGCAGAGGCGCAGCCCATCGCGCAGCTACGGGAGTTGCTCGAGGAAGCTGTTGAATCGAATCGCAGTTAGTCACGAGTGTTATATGTGCAAATATTTCGGAAACTGTGGGGTATTGGTTTGACTTACAGCTCTGGAGAATCTGGAGGCCAACATCATGATGGCTAAGAGGTGGAGAGGACGGAGCTATGGGAAATGAGAAGAATTGTCGCAATGGAAGAAGAGGAAAAGAAGGTAGTATACAGGTGGTTCGTCGGCTTATTTATTATTATGAATGAGGATAAAAGATGGCAAGTTGGTGGAGACGATTGCTATAAATTTTCTTGGGCGACTTGGGATGTGGAAGAGAGAAGATTTCTGAGAGCTTCCTCGCGGGCGGTGTACCTCGGCAATAACGTGGGGATCCAATCATAATTCGATGAAATTTTTAAGAGGAGGTGACGTTAACCAATAACCGATATGTACCGCATACGTACCTACCGCACCTACCGTACCGCCCGCACCGGCGGCGAAATCTCGAAATCTTGTGGACTAGAGCCGCGCTTAGGTAATATTCTAGAATTTCCCAAAACTTAAAATCCTTAAGACGTTAGCCGTCAGCCATCAGAGACTTTTCTAGATTTGGTATTTTGTCAATTGTCAGCATTATGGCGTCTTAAGTGCGCTATTCTGATAATTATTGTATGCACAATAGCAAACTTGAATTAATTACCTAGCCCAAAATCCAAGCAGAGACATGCAATGCTATAAAGATGGCGATGATGTAAGAGTACCTACTACCTATGTAATAGCTCGGATCCTTAAGAGCTTAACAATATACATAGGTAGTAAGTAGATACGCTACTGGTTCGATGCGGCACATACAGTATACGACAACCCGGATAATTGTGCAAATAGTATCACGCAAATCCAGTTAGGCAGTAGTTTTACCAAAATGGAAACTTGTCTTACTTATATGGAAATAACTCCTATGGTACAAGCTTAGTGCTGCAACAATAGTATATATTTTGCATTGCCCGTCCTAAGCCGCAAGGTAAGGTACCTATATATGTATGTAGTTGCATTACATCAGGGCATTAATATGGATGTGTGTAGGTAGGTACATTAGATAAGTACTGTACATATCGATATTCTTCGTACTGTACAATCCCGGGTACAGGGTCACTTACAGGGTACATACATATGTTAGGGCGTGGTTGCCCGTTGCCCGTGCCCGTTGCCGTTGATTGTCGGCGGCAGTAGCTGCTTGGTGCTGGTGCTGATGCTTGGTGCGAATCTGGACGTCATCTGAGGAGCCTTCCACTCAAGGGGAACTTCTACCTTTGTCCCGTAGTCATTCAACAACTTCCTCAATACTTTAACGCAACCCGCATTCGTGTTTATGTAGTAAAAAAAACACACACCAAAAGGTACCCTCATGCTCACTCACATTCCCTTTTAGGATATGGACCCCGAAAACTAGTGCTTCACCCTCTATAACAAACTTGCATCAAACGCTCAAACGCTCAGACGCTTAACCCCAGTTGCTAGGACTTGTTGTGATCTCACTTCTTACTCAGCTCATCCCCCCCGGCATTGCTACATCTTATCTTGTTGGATCTACTCTCCGACCAGTCGACCAGTCGACCAGTCCGCCACGACCCAAATATCCTACGATCGGCGCATCTCCCTCCTTACGTGTCACTTGACTTTCCTGCGACGCGTTTCCATGATCGATACGACTTGATGAGCCATTATTACGGTATTAACATCCGCCATTGGCACCATGGCCGTAGACGAGGAGGCCAGGTAGGATTTGCTGCCGCGTGCTGATGCGCGCATCCAAATAGAAATGGCGACACCCCGCTGATTGTCAGTCGTCTCTAGTCTCTGGCCTACTGAGAACCTGCTTCTTAAAGAAGGTCGCAAGCACTATCGCACCAGTGTCTCGCCAATGTGAGTCTCACAGCCTATCTAGCCTACTAGCCTACTACATATACTTCATGTATCTAGGCGTATCTAGGCTACCTAGGTACTTATCCCTATCTCCGCGCAAACAGGTACTAATCCCTACCCCGTTTGTAGTCATTGGCAGCTCCGATCATTGGTCAGTGCAGAGCAGCAGGGCGTCATCTACTTCCCGGCTGGTGTCAATAATACCCATATCCAACGGCTCGATACTTCTACCCGCGAATGCGAAACCATTAAAGTCATTAGCTTCCACCCCCGCTGTCTGGTTGCTAGTAAGGGCTGGATCTGCTGCGGAGGCGAAAATGGAGAGTTCGTGGTTATACGAGAGTCGGGTAACAGCGATGCACAGGCCGATACCCTCAGCAGAGACGTTCGCTCCAGACTAACCTCGCTTGAGTCCTCCAGCATGACTGAAGGCACCATATACCAGCTTGAACGCGATATGCTATCTGTTGTGGAACGAATCAATGGCACCAACAAGACGTGGTCAGCTTCCAGCTATAAGATCGGTACCGAGCGTGTCAACTGCATAACCATCTGGCACCCTCCTAAAGATGCGGGCGCACCAGCCCCTGGACAATACGAGTCCCCGGTAGCTGTTGTGGCAAACAACGACAAGAGCATTACCATCGTAAGCCTCTACGAACCCGACTTGCACAAAGACGTGTTGGACTATCCCGATTGTGTCAACCGCGGCGTGATCTCCCCCGATGGAACCCTCTTAGCTGCAGTCTGTGATGACGCCTACCTCTACATACACGCGCGGGAACAATTTAACAAGAATTACGAAGGAGTTACTCGACGAGTTACTCGACAGTCCTCCAGATGGGTATTGCTACCAAAAATACGACTCAAGGGCCAGTGGAAGGATGACGCTACGGATTGTCGAGGGAGCTTCGCAGCTTGCTTTTCTTCATCGGGGAAGTACTTGGCAGTGGGCACCCAATATGGCACCATATCTATTTTTAATGCCGTCAAGCTCAAGGACCCCAACTCGGAACCTTTAATCGCATATTTTAATTCTGCCCGGGCACCTGGGGAATACGGTGCTGTTAGAGACATGGCCTTTTCGCCGGGGCCGTTCGATCTCTTGGCGTGGTCAGAACATCGAGGTCGGATTGGGGTAGCAGATGCGCGCTCAAACTTCAAACGACGACATATTATCCCAATAGATAGTCATGAAGGATTTAATCATTTCTCACTTAACGATAGCAGTACTATCGATCCACGTCTTCTCGACCCCCGCAGCGAGCATACTACCGAAGGCGATCGTAATGCTGATAACGAGCGCAATGCTGAATCATCTCCGTTAGGGATGATGGACCGTTGGAACCGAGCAGTGTCTGATCGGCGGCCCCTACCAGATCCTGAAACTTCAGATCCCACATCACGAGTCAATCAGCCTTTCAGCGCGGATGAGATCTCGATTCTAGAGGCCTTCCAAGCTCAGCGTCGTCGACGGGAATTGCGGGATCGAGGGGAGCAATTGGAGCAACATTTTATGGAACACCGAAATCAACGAGCTGCTGAACGGAACGCATTGAGATCTACGGGTTGGGCAGATCGTGTAAGTCTCCAGAACGACAGGACTAGGCGTGCGAGCGTCAGAAATCCCATCGCCCGTTACTTACACAGTCATCAATTTGGTTTAAATCGCACTAATACGGATGTTGAGCAGCGCGAAGCGCTGACGAGATTCATCGAACGTGAACGTATGCGCGAGATCCGCGATCAACATCGTTCGAGCGCCACCCAGGCAGCCCCCGAACCGGAGCGCGAGAGAGGAAGTTCTATACCACGGGACTTGGGTCGAAGTCGCACGTCCATCATGCGTACACTAGCCCAGAACTTCGATACTATCTCGCAGACGATGAGGTCGCAGGGCCAGTACAACGATGCCGGTAACGACAGCTCGGGAGCCTCACGCGATCCGTGGTATGTTGGGGGATCCGGCTCCGGATGGCCCGACCTTGAGAACCTGGCCAACATAAGCGGATGGACCGGTGGGCTTACCGATAATGCTCGAACCGAGACTAACAGGGCCCGTCGTGGCATCCCGGTCGTTGCTGACGTGTGGGGCAACGACTCGCTCTTCAGCAGGATTAGAATGGGCAGCCGCGATCATACGCAAAACCCGGATGACACTGCAGGTTTGACATGGAGCGAAGATGGCCAAGTATTGTAAGCGAAATAATTCCCTTATCCCACGGAGGCGAGAGTATATCCTAACGAGTCCGTCCCTAGATATGTCGCAGCAGAAGACGGAATATACGAATTCCGCGTAAATATCTATGGCAGAAAAGTATTCCCGGATATTCAGCTTCGCTAGGCCAATGAAGCCATGGCATTCGTCTGTAAGCTATGAACAGTACCCTTTTATTTTCGGCAAGGGGGATCTCGACGGCGTTGGGGGCGGTATTATATACTCATGCGTGCATAAGGAAGGGCAAAGGCGTCTTACATTCTTCACTGGTCCGGACGCGGCGAACCTTGTTGTCTGTTTTGGTTTTGTTTCGTTCTGTTGCCTTTTTTTTGCTCGGCCGTTCAGGGCAATCGGCAGTAACCCCTATTCGAGGGGTGGGCGTGGATATTATGTATTGCTCGCCTTGTAGTTCCCACGAAAAGTTAGTTTCGTCGTTGGAATTTTGCAAGAGACGAAGGTGGAAGAAAGATGTTTGTTCGCGAGGGATGGCTTGAGTTGCTCGGCTGGTGAGTTGGCTGGCTAGTCGAAGGCTCCGCCATGACGGACGTTTTTGTTGGTCGAGAGATGTACATACATTATATTGCGCTGATTCCCCTGATATTAGATGTAGCCACATCGCTCAACCGAATTGTATTTGGCATGTCCTTGCTAGGATTTGAATTAGCTAGTTCTTGTATCTTAGATCTGTGCTTGTGTTATTGTATCAAGTTATAGCGCCCCTTTTAACTCGCTTTCTATCTGACATATACAAATCGCCATCATCATCAAGTAGAAGCCTTATGTACATATCTAGGTACACACTTACCTGCCCCTATCTACGTCCCTAATGCCGCCGATCCCTCCACCTTCCCACTCCCATACAGCATATCCCTCACCATCTCCCCAATCGCCAGACAGCTAGTCAACCCCGGACTCTCTATCCCCAGCAGATTCACCCACCCCTCAAACCCATCCTCCTTCCTGATATGGAAATCCACAAACCCTCCTCCGCCCGTCGCCACCGCGCCTGCCGGCGCTAGCTTCGGCCGTATGCCCGCGTAGTCGGGCGTCAGCGCGCTTTCGTCGATGGACGGGAGATACTTCTTTATCTCGGCGATGGCGGCTGGTAGGCGCGCCGCGTTGACGGCTAGATCGCTGGGCGACTCGACCCATTCTACGTCGGGCCCGAAGCGCATCCGCCCCGCGAGGTCGAGCGTTAGGTGGGTGCCTAATCCGCCGGCGCCGGGGGCGGTTACCGGGTATATTAGTCGGCGGACTTTGGGGGTCGAGGACGCGTAGCTGAAGTAATTCCCTTTGGCGTAGTATAGCCGGACGTGCTTATCCGGTGGCACAATCATGTTATGAATGTCAGCGGCGCCGAGACCAGCGCTGTTGATGATCGTCGAAGTGGTAATACTCGATTCAGAACCAGTAGCCGCATCACGAACAGTAATCCGCCAACCATCACCACCAGCCCTCGACCCCAAAGCCTCCACACCTACCACCGCCGAATTAACAGCCAGCACACCCCCACTCTCCTCAAACTGCCCCAACAGCGCCGTCATCAACGCATGCGAATCGACGATCCCCGTCTCCGGACTCTCCAGGACCCCTCCCAAAGCCCGTACCTCCGGCTCCAACCTCCGCGCCTCCTCGCGCCCCACCCACCGCGTCGGCACGCCCAGCCCCGCCGTCCTACAAACCTCGTGGATCCCCGCCAATGCCTCCCCCTGCGCCTCGTCCTGCGCTACAACCCACTTCCCCACGCGCGCGTGAGGCACCCCGTAGCGCGCGCAGAAAGAATACAGGGCCGAGCGGCCGCGGATACACAGGCGTGTTTTAAGCGAATGGGGGCCGTAGTAGAGGCCTGCGTGGATGACTTCGCTGTTGCGCGACGAGGTCTCCGTGCCGGTGTGGGGATGCCGTTCTAGCAGGAGCGTGCTGTTGCTGTTGCTGTTGCTACTAGGGGAGGAGGAGTGGGAGTGGGAGGCTAGGGCCCGCGCGATGGCGAGGCCGACGGCGCCGCCGCCTATGACCTGTGTTTTGGGGGGGCCTGTGAGCTGTCAAGGTCTGGTGCGTGTGGATTTACGTAGGTATTTATGTGCGATATATACAACACAAGCCGTGCAGAAATATATATATATATATATATCCCAACCAGTGCGCAAGAGCCAATAAACGAATCCGACTTACAACATGCGTAAAATCCGTCCCCGCCGGCGCGGTACCAGAGAACGAGCGTGCTAGGCTGCGCAGATGAGGCGACTGGAATTGCCGCTGGGCCGTCCTCGCGAACATGTTCGGCTTCCGTCTCGCGTAAAAATTAAATTACCTAGGATCGTGAGAACGGAGAGCAAAGATGCTGTTTGAAAAGGTAGGTACCTAAGTTATAATCGGAATCGGAGGGGATGATATCATATTTCTAAACCGCCGGACCGGAGCTCTTACACTTATCTAGGTTACCATTTTCATGCGGCATTCCCCCTATTTCCCCACCAAAACTTATCACTTTTACATAACTTTTATAAGTCGAGGAAAATAGTTGAAGATATCATTTTACTCGTATTTTATCTTTAAGTATCACTTTTAAAAACGGACAAAATTTGTATGTTTTATATACCTAGGTATGTTTTATGTGGGAATAAAGTATCCCCCACCAAAACGCTACCATAAGGGAATGCCGCATAAAAATGGTAGGTGATTGATCGAACTGATCTACCTATACCTTTGAGTACCTACATACATGTAGGTAGTGAATCTAGGGTAGGAAATCTAGTGTGGCTAGGTGTGGCTAGATAAGCCTTAAAAGTTGGTATTTAACCACAATTCAAATAAACACAGTCGCTCACTTAATCTAATACACGGTCTAAATTCTTAAGCTTCAAACATCAAGTACGAAGTCCCGTGATTCGCATCACATTTTATCAGAGTCTACGAGTACTGGAAACATGTACACATACCGAAATCCCGTCCGGGAGAAAGAAAATCATTGATGCCAAGAGTCCGCCATGTACCGAGGGACCATATCAGAAACAATTGTGATATGCCATGTTTCGTTAAGTCGTATCCCTCTTCCCTAATGCCCTTTTCGAGCATCCTTCACCCAACGCCGAATATTTGCCCAAAAGGAACGCAGAAAATAGTCCGACACGTCCATTCATGGATAGCTGAATAACCGAACGCCTGAAGACAATATTCGAGTTTACAAAACATAGTTCAGGGCTTCCTCACTCGTCCTTGATAGTTTCTGAAGCCGCGATAGGTCGGGGAGTGTTAGTAGACGCAGTAGCAGGAACAGCAGATGGTGAGCCCGCTGCAACATATTCCTCGGATACTGAAGTAGACTGTGTGAGATGTGAATGATGCGTTGGCTCTCGTGACAGTGACGCACCAGCATGAGCTTCGCTAAGTTGGCGTTCTATACACAGGTTAGTAAGGTAGTTATAAGATTGACTGCTGTATCTTACCAAGTTCCCGAATTCTATGACGCAGCATCTGGTTCTCACGAACTAAAGACTGTGTCTCAGCTTGGTAATAGGCACTCTCGTCGCGAACCCCAGAAAGGAGCGGCTCTCCACTTTCCGCGCTGATAGACCCCGATCTCAACCTAGGAGAAGGCGCGCCGCGACTGGGTGTTCTAGATCTGCGGTGGAGAGCATCGCGAGCCATGTCAAAGGAAGAACGCGGATGGGATATGACCGGGGAACGGGGGACCGAAGTTGACGGTGCGGAGAAGGGTGGTTGAGCAGGTACGTTCGGAAGCACCATGGAACTAGATCTTTCTGACGTAGGGGTCGCATCTTCGGCGGCTACGCTCGTTTGGCTTTGACCTTGGGCTGCCTGAAGTTGCTGTAGTTGGAGTTGTTGCTGACGGATCATCTGTAAGAGCCGGTTCTACATATACAAATTAGCTAACTGAAGCTTATTTTATTATTGAACATTGTAGCAGCGCTTACCACTTGTGCTTCCTGTTCTGCCTCAAGCTCTTGATGTAACTCTCCCAAGCTTGGGGCTCTGTTATGGTAGGGATCACCTCCGGTAAGGAGGGGTGACGCAGAGATCAGCTGGGGGCTTGTGGCGCTATGTCCGCTGCTTCCACTTTCCGTCACCATTTCACCTGGTCCCGGAAGAGAGGGGTCGTTGAGTTGTAGGTTCATTAAGACCGTGGAGCGACGTCGGCCCATTTGTGGTGATTGTCGGTTTCGCGATAGAGAGCTGCTCGAGGAGCCTGTAAGAGGAGGGTGAGTATAGTTGTAGGTTAAAGAGATTAAGTAGGTAGTTATTAGGAAAAAAACTTACGTCTCATGGGTTCGTGCTGGAGGCCGGCATTCATTGTTGCAGCTGCTTGTAGTGAAATAGATGCGGATCGAGGAGAGGGTGATGCTGACTCTCCGCGTATAGCAGAGTCTCCGCTGCCGTTTGAAGAGGTCATGATACGTGGTCGTGCAGATGGAGATGATGGTGGAAGAGAATTAAGATCGGGTGCCATGTCGACAGCAAGAACGAATTTGACTTAAGGTTGACGTTGACGTATGAAATAGTAAATAAAAGTGGTCGGGTCACTGGACGTTGAGGTTACAAACGTCGACCTAGGTTAGGTAACTTGACCAAGCCACCACCAAACCTCCAGCCAGTGCACGAGATAGAAGGCGGGTGGAAATGAAGTTAGGTAAGAAGTCCGTAAAAGATGCAGATTATAGTATGCAGGTGGCGGTCTAATCACCCAAATATGTTAATTAGGACTATGACTCGAAGGTGATCATGGCACAAACGCCCGATGGGGGGCACAATGCATACGGAGAACAAGCACCTTTACAGCTTGCGAAGGCTGAAGCTGGACCTTTTGATGATTGATGCTGTTCAGGTGACGAAGAAGTCGAACGATGTTATATATGTTATAGGTGTTTTTCGAAGACCGTGACCAAACAGGAGCAGAACTTCAACAGAAGCACCGAGTTTGGTAGAGTTTGGTGCAAGTCTAGATTATTGGTCCAGCAGGTTACTGATAGACAAGTTACCTCTGGTAATCTAAGGTTTGCTTAACTCTGCTGCTACTGTGTGCACTGCAGTAAACGGAGCTGGGGAAAGGGCATTCATTATGCAGGTGGGCTGTGACCCTGTGGGGAATACCTTAGGTACATACATACCTTAGGTACCTAGTTGACCCATTATATAATCACATTTCGCGGCTCGTTGCGGCTAGCGTCTGTGCTGTATCTCCTGAGCCGCGCTTATCTATCAAACCATTTAATCTACAACATTGAAACCACGAGATGTCGTTAGGTACGCAACCCAAATATCTCAAGGACGTTACAAAGCTCGCATCTCATTCCACGTAGCGGATCTGTGATTTGTTGTACAAACTCAGTTGACTCAATTAATACGTATTTCCAACCATAGGGGAAGCTCCTTTTATGGGGTCTCGTATTCCCCGCGCCTTTATGAGCATAGGTATTACCTTGTTACCTGTCAACGCTCATCAATCTCCAATTGTGACGGACAAGTTACACCATGCGAGTTAGACAGCACCTAAGGTAAATCGATAAGACCCTTGGGGTTACGTGTTCATGCAGGGGATCACTTTAAACTTCTATTCGGGTCTCATCACTTAACGTAGCAGCGTGGGCTTCTGGTGTATCCAAGGGGCAAGGTCCTGTTGATATCCTTATTCGTTAGTTATCTACATGTAGTTATATGTAAATAAATAGTCACGGTAGCTCGATAATCATTTGAGTTGACATTGATATTTTCAGTAAATCGTATTTTATACATATATATGCATGCGAAGTGGACTTCCCCTTGATTATCTTGATTATTCTAGGTGTTGGCATATCAAATCTATTGACATCCTTTATGGGTAGGAGCTGGTCTCAGAACTTAAACCCCAGCTTATACATACATATGTAGTCCTCTAACGCGCTAATGTAAATTCATAGTCGCTACCAGGCTACCTAAACTCTATCTGGTTTCAAAAATAGTCGTAGGTCCAATTCTACATTCCTCGAAACCCTACATAGATCTTCGACTTCTTCCATCCTGTTCTATTCGTTGGTCGTAAAAAGAAAATCGCGGCGCTCTAGTGTTTAGTAGACGAAGAGATAATACTCGAAGATTCCAAGACCACATCTTCAATACATATTACGATCGGATCACAGCTTTCGATAACCGGATCTCGACCGGCTAACTCTATGAACAGTAACACCCGATGATATCCCGCAGTGAGAGAGGACCAATACCTATCCGTACATTCAACTGCATATACTGGGAATAATGTATAGACGAAATCTAGTTATGCGTGTCTCACCGCATCAAGGGTCCGCCGTCTTAGAGAATTTGTAAGCCCTCCCCGTAATCCCGTAATCCCGTAATCCCGTAATACCTGATACCCCGGATTCTCAACCACAAGCTGAAGAACTCGATTTTTGGCACTGCAGCGGGTTTAAGCACCTCGCTACCGGCCGAGCCTTGGCTGAGTAACTGTAAGTATTTTACCCCTGAGCTCAGCCTCCTTTCCCCCCTAGTGTATTCGGTCATATGTGCCGAAACGCGCATGCACCAAGAAATCTTCTACACGCCAAGTCCAAGAACTTTGCCATTCGTATCCTTACGAATCACATATGTTCAAGACCATCATCCGGCTCCGGGACAGCAGCATGTGGCAGTGTTTCGGAAGTTTCCTTACGCTTGTATTGTGGCCAAGAATACTTCCGGATTTGAATATCGGTGGCTTTACGGTCTTGAGCGTATCTACGGGATCACTTATCGCACAAGCGCCGATGCGGAATAAACCTCTACGCGATACGGATATCGACGGAAAAGAAAAGACAGAAGCGAGTTGGAATTTGATGGAACACCCCGTCTAGACCTTAGTCCAATACTGACAAGTTTACTACATATGCCGATGCATAAGCACGATGCCCACATGGCATACTAGCTACGCAGTACCGAAGCTGTAGAACAATTGGCACCGGTGGCTGTCTACCTTGGAAGTCACGGAGATAATCAACGCTTAATACATATGTGCCATGGTTAGCTTGACGATACTAGTTGGCGTATAGGGAAATCCACTTCCACGCTGTTGGATGCCTCGGCTCAAGTGGGTTTACCACATTTTGGCAAGGACGGAATGCGGATACCTCGACCTCAGTAATCACCAAGTAGACTTCGTTCGGGATTCCTAACCGGCAGAAGGCAAGATGTCAGAATGCAAAGGCCGCTAATAGGGGTCGCAATCCGGGCACGCGTAATCCCAATACTCTGGTTTTGGGAGCTGCACCGTCAGCTGCATACGGGCGCGTCTCATTACTGTTAGATGCGGGCTGGCAGGCCAGTAATATTGCGCAGCCGACGTCATATCATCGCCGCGGGCTTGAGGCTAGAATCGCTGCTCGGCCCTACCTTACGTAGGGACATAGCAGAGCAGTTGCACAGGTCGGCGAGGACAACGGAGATAGTGACAAAAAGGGAAACATCAGAGATAAAAAAAAAAGCATTCGTCTATATGTAATATGCTCACGAAAACCAGGAGAGGCCTCACTTGACTTTGGGGTGCAGCTCTTCTGATCGGCAGCCCGTGTATATTCTGCATCGGTATCAAGGATCGTTCGCCTATGATTCGCGGGTACCTGGACTACTTGGACTCAATGCCGGTGGTCTGTATGCACGGGACGGCGTCGGGTCTCTTGCCGCTTCTATGGTTGGGTCTATTAATTTAGCGATTAGTTTCTTTCTGCGAAGACTGATCGTCGGCTGTTACCGATGCGGTCCCGGTGGTTCGGATCCCGTTAATGAGAAGGTCTCAGTCCGACCCCCCCTAACGCGCGTGGCGGCACTGCCGATTATCGTTACCCCTGTACGAGGTGACAGGAATCTCCCCCTCTCGCTGGTCGACGGCGCTCTGGGAAGCTTACATACATATGTACGCAGCATGTAGGCGACGACTATGTATGGTGAATAAGCCACGAATTGTCTGCGAGTAGAAACTGCTTCTTAAGCGAATATTTGATTGGTCCATGAGATATCCGTTCTGAGTGATTTTAAGGGGGATGTATGTTGGATGCGCACCTATCATGTCCCATTCCGAGACCCCACGGATGGTATTGTATTACGTTGGCTTGGCGTGGATAGTTGGTCAGAAAGCTGCTCAGCTGAAATAGCGTTATCAAAAATAACCCTTGAAGCATAAACCCACGATCCTTTAGCTGAACATAGACGAGAGCTGCATTATTAAAAGATATAAGATATAATAGAGAGCTATATAACTACAGCTGATAGGTTCCTGCCGTATAAGTGGCCCCCTTTTGGGCATGATGGGAGCCCACAATGAGACTGGAACCCGACGGAAGAAGCTAGTAGGAAGGGAAACAATTTGAATCCTTCACTAAGCTCGGCCAGTGTAAACGATCCCGGTTCCCCGGCCGCTACTGCAGGAACTATCACCACGGAGACGCAGGATCGGATGTGGGAGGTTTGCTATAGTAAATAGCGACTATGCATACCTTAGGTAAGTTAAGGGAGAGAGAGAGAAATGGTGTATGAGGCTTTAGGTCTGTTGGAAGCAATGGCAAATATTATTTACGTCTTTTATCGATGGGGCTTGTAAAATCGACGATAGTGCAATGTACGTGTATGTATGTAGCATACCTGGTTGTTATCTAATATCTGCTTGGCCGGACCACATCCCCTAGCTTCGATAAGTATGTAGGGCAGGGCAGGGCAGGGTTAAGTGCCGAGGTGCCATTGCCATGTGGTCTGGTGGTCCAGATGCAACGCAACACTGGGTTGACTGGTATCCCGTACGCTTGGATAACATACCTACCTCACTACCTACCTAGTGTATGTATGTATCGTGCGTGAATTAATAGGGATTATTAGGTTAGGTAGGTATGTCATGACTTCTCGCAGAAATACCATTCCAATCGTAGATAAAAGAATCGAGAATGCAGAGGGGATGGATGATGGATAATGCAAAGGGAGCACAGGACGTCGTATTCTCAAATTGGAATTGTACCGACGAGAATGCAAGGTCAGCTGAGCTGAGCGAATCCGCTATGCACCATGCAACTGTCCACTTCCTGTGCGGCGGTCACTGCGTGCGTAAGTAGTGTAGGTATGTATGTATTATACATACATACACATACATACTAGAGCATGTAAAACCGCAAATCTCACGAATTCGGTCGGCGGTTATAAGATGTAGACTATCTTTTTGAGTGTTACCTCTGAACAAGCTCTTAGGCTCTGGCTTATTGATCACGAGCCAATATATTCTGAGATTCGGCTCGCTGCATACTGTATGTATTTGGTTGGAAATCTGTCATGGCTCGAGCCCTGCCCTGCCCTGCCCTGCTCTGCCCTGCTAGCTAGCAAGCAAGCAAGCATTGGCCTATTGAAGTTCCCACAGGCCAGGGGTGACGCCTAATTTTGGATAATGATCAGCGTATGTATGTATGGATGTATGTATTTCCGCCGTTCCGTCACATTTCTGACCTTGGATCGCGTTGCGGTGTACGTACATACGGAATAGAATCCTATGCATACACAGGTAGCAATATATCCATAGTATATTCCGTACCTAGAGTTATTAAGCCGCGATATCTAGTTTGCTGCAGAATGTGGCGGTATAGATATTCTAACGCAGCTGCAGAAACGCCACAAAGAGACCGTATACATTAGGTAGTTAGATATATACATACTTGGATGTCGGACAGTTCACTGCAGGCTCCCGGAGCGCAGATACGCATGTTGCGCATATTGCGGGTTGAAAGATCAATAGTCCCTCGAGAAAACTCGCTTCGCATTGTCATCGATACAACCTTCACCTATTCGAGCTACGAGATGTAGTGTATTGGATCAATATGTATCAATCATCAGTGTTGATCCGAATTCTCCATTTATCGGCACTTATCAAAGCCTAGGTAGTAGTATGTAGTAGTATGTAGTACCGAGCATGGACGCTCTACATACCGGGCTCTCCTCATTGCAGTCCTGTGCGAAAATACTACATCGAGGATCTCTCTCCACTTGAAAACCAGAGAAAGCCCTTGGCATTCGCATGCGGTGACGATGGGTTTCCCCGCTGCTACTTGAGTGTCAATACGTACATACATATGTAGGTATGTATAGCAAGCAGCCTGCAGGCCCCAAACAAATACTTAGCGGCTCACGAGCGAGATCACATCCCAGCACGTCGTTGATTCGCGGTGGCCGCCAGGGGGTGGTAGTGTTCCATAGGCGCGTTTCTTCTCACAGGTTCAAAACAACATTGGAAACCACCGAAGCACGCAATGTGACAAAGCTTTGCTGCGGAATAGGTATTCAAGTTTGATACCCAGTTAATCATTGGCCGTTGTAAGTGGCTGTTGTAAGCACTTACGTAGAGCGCCTATGTAGGTAGGTATGCTTCGCAGAAGGGGAGGGTTTTCTGGAGGCGAGGCGGGAGTTTTTTTTTCGTCTTTCTCTCCGAATACATTACGTAGTTAGAGAAGAAGAACAATAACTAACAATAAAATCCTATACATTAGGGTACGTATTCCCCAACTAGGCTTTTCTAAACCGGGGCTCTCTCCGAGGCGTGAGGAGTGTCAGACGAACGCAAGAATGTTAGCGCTCTTAGTGGCAGTGTTCCCGCGAAAGAGGCGTTTTCCCCAGCGCCTGCATATGAAATATATAGCGTATCTGTCGTGCTCCGCGCCTATCTGTCATTTATTCGTGTGTAATCAGGACGATCGCATGCTGAAATTCGACAAGATCGAGGGCGGCAACGGGATGAAATTCCATTGCTGTCAAATCGAAAAGGGAAAAAAAAAAGGTACTTTTCTTTACACGATGGGGAAGAGAAAAAAAAAAGGTCCGTGGTGGGGGGGAAAAACAACCTAAGCCCATCACCTACCCACATATGTATCCTTGTATCCTTGTATCTTTATATCCTTGCAACTCTATGTAGCCGGAAGCCCGCCTTACGAGCTACAACTACGGGTCTACCTTACAACTAGCGCTTCACAATCCCACGAGTCCTATGTAAAATAGAACCGAATTACCGAATACAGGTATTTGCCAGGTACAGTGGATAGCATATACATTATGTACCATAGCGTCCGCAAGTCCCGCACGGTCGAGGGCCGGAGCGCTGGAGGAAGATCCCTAACCGGGATGGCACCTAAACCTGTTCCCCTTGCCGTCAACACATATGTAGGTATGTAGGTATAACTAGTTACACTAATACATACAATACTATGCAAGTACCTAACATACCTACATACTCCCAACCCACTTCGTCAGTTCGAGTTGCTTTGGAGCAGGGGTTCCCGCGCGCGAATCCCGGCAACCCAACCCAGCCAAGGCTCGATTTCTTCCAATTTTTTCTCACCAGCGTGCGGGCCATTGGGGCTCCGGGGCTTGGACATATGTACAATGGGACCTCAGTTGTGTAAAGTCTCCCGTTCCCGCCCCATCCCATCCCATCCCATACCATTCTCGGGGTAAAAGAAAACATGAGACCGAACCTCGACTTACAAACTTGCATATACATATATAGGTACATACATACCTCCTAGCAACCTGTTAAGGCTTAGAGCAGAAAAATGTGAATTCCTAATTTTAACCTTCTAAAAACTCTCGTCTCCCGCCTTACGGGCTCCCGGTCTAGTCTTCACTTTCTTCTGCCCTAACTCCACCTCTGGCAGTTCGCTTGCTGTCATCTACCGCTCTAGCTTGAAGCTATCCACGAGCTAGTCAGACCCGTTGCATAGTTCTACTGGCCTGGACTTCCAAGGACGAACCGCGCTTCCGGCTTTGCAACGCAGGGTTGCCCTGACCTCACCATCGCGGCCCCGTTGCCTTTCCCCTCATGATCTCGGTTGTTGACTGATATTTTGGGGATTCGCCGTCTTAGGGCTATACCTTAACCTATCTTATTACCATCTGTGCGTCGACAGCTTTGTACTCGCGCTCCATATGTTTGACTAGCTATCCCACGTCACATCATCGACATCCAGGATCTACAACTATACTATAACAAAAAGCTACTTATATCATATATATTAATATTTATCTTACTAACTATTCAGCAACTCCATAAAACATGGCTGAAGTAGACGTTGCTGGACCGAGGAGTCCGACTCTCGAGACGCTCCTGAACCGCCAACGCGAAATGCGGCGAGCACGGCCGCCAGATATAACGATTATTCAAAATGAGAACAGAATCCCGCTACGGCCAGAGAGATTAGAGAAGCGCGAATCCAGGATTGGCTTAAGGAGCTTATTCGGCAGGTCGAGAACGGGGAAGGATGATAAGACAGGAGAGGAAGCATTACCATCACCAAAAGAGTCACCACGACATGGCGGGAAACGCTCCTCGCTAGCTGATATCGGTGTCTTCAACCGGGGGCTTCATTCGTCTCGCTCTGAGGTTTCCCTTTTACCTTCACCTTTGGCGCTAGCAAAGCCATCGCCGACTGAATCGTTTTCTTCAATAAGTTATCGAGGACGGCGAGGTAGCAATCCCGCTAACAAAAGCAAACTTCGTCAACCAGTATCGCCGACAAGCCCGACTACGGCTTTTGATCCGCCGCCATTATTCAAGATGTATCCCCAAGCAACTAAGCATGCCACACTACCAGCTTGTGCCACCCCGATAGAGACCCTCGTTCGCTTCAGCGAGTCCAAAGATAGCTCACTACAGAACGACTTTTCACAAGGTGACATCACTCTTGACCGACGAGAAGCAGGGCGGAAGACAGAGGGAGATAAGAAAAAGAAATCCAAATTTGCGCCGGAATGGACTAGCAAGATTTACGCACTTGTCACTTCTGGATATTTACTCCAATATGCGGCCGAGGGCTCCTTCAATAGGTTACCTGAAAAGGTCTTACATCTCACTCGAGACTCGGCTGCTTATGTTAGCGACCTAATTCCCGGAAAGCATTGGGTTGTTCGAGTGACTTCATCCACGGATGCCGACGGAAACCCATCTACAGATGCGAAATCCCTTAGGTCTAGGCTTGCCCTAAGAGGAGTCGAGAAGCGACAAGTCTCTAACATGCTGCTTGTTTTCGAAAGCCCCGAGATTATGGATGCCTGGCTCGCTATCCTGAGACGGGAGATCGAATCGCTAGGCGGTAAGAAGAAGCTTTCGGAAACCGGCAACCCCGAAACGGACGACGGCGCTACTACGCTCAAGGCGCAGGATAGCCAGAGGACCATTGTTGTTCGAGATCCGGCCCGTTTCTCGCGTATTATTTCCCAGGACTTCTCGTGGACTCAGGAGAATGCGCTTGTCGATCCTACAGAAGAGAGCGATTCCAACAACCCGCCATTAAAGCGACTGTCGGAGTCGACCGTGGATGATGATTCGAGTATGGTTTCGTCGGATGGTCAACGCCTAGACAGCCTCCGAGATAGTGGCACCGGCAGTGGTAATCGATTTTCCTTCGTCTCATCCGGACAGCGGACAATTGTATCTTCGGCGGAGTCGTCGCCGGCCAATTCTCCAATTCGAGCAAGTTTCTCGAGCCAGGAGGAATATCTATTCCAAAAGAATCAATCACCATTACCACCTACCCCCGAGGTTACCGAGGTTAGGCCGCGTCCCAACGCCGCCGCGATCGCAAATCGCAGACAGTCGATGCAGACTATGATCCCTGCTTTCGATCATCGTCTGGATATGGGTAGTCATCCGTCTTTGACCCTATCTCCTCCCCCTCCTAAATCAAGTCATGGCGACGGGCGTCAATTCGTACCTAACTTTAGCGTACCACATGCAGTGGGTAGACGATACTCGTCGTTGAGTCTGTCTGCAATCACCCCCCGATCTGAACAGGCGCAAGCAGTTGGCCGAGACGGGCCCGCTAAGCCTCCTCCCTTTCGAAGGAGTCCGCCGACAACCCTCCCCATCTCTCGTCCCCTCTCTATTGTTCTTGATCAGCCGTCACCAAGATCACTTTATTCGTCCAACTCATCTACCCACCCAACCAGCAAGGTACCTGCTTTACAGATGCCTGATTCACCGACCATATTCAGCTCTTGGGCTGGCAATGCTTTGAAGCAGCGGTCGCAGGAAAGGGGAAATTCCCCGAAGAAGAGCCATCTGTCGAAGCAGATCACCGACGGAGCTCAAAGCACCGCCACGGAGCGTCGTAGCACAGATGATGTGCGTGCCAGTCGACAAGGTCCGGCACGTCCCCAAGCCAAGACAAGTAAATCATCCATCCCTCAACCAGCCTGCGCCCAGTTTTCAGAGATTGCGGACGCTCCCGAGCTAATGCGCAGGCCCGCCTCATCTTTCGAGATGCGGAGAGTATCGACGGCCCCGGTTCCCAAATATGTATCCTACAACCGCACACCGCCGCTTGACGAGTACCAAACCCGGCAGAGCCGCTACTCGTTAACGTGCCCCAAGCAGACCTCCAAATTACCCTCTATCGAGGAGCCAGCCTACACGCTATCGCCGCCCCTAGCCTTCTCGCCTAAGCGCTCGGTGCCTTCCTTCAAGGCCCTGCAGCAGGAGGCATCATCAAAGCAATTATTGGCGGTAGACATGAGCCCAAAAGCCCTCTTAACCAGGAGAAGCATGCCTCACCTCTCAGAAGGCCCACCTCCTACTCCCCCACCAACCTACGCGCTTCCTCCACTTCCGGGGAAGCATGCGGCTACCATGCCCAGGAGCATGAAGACATGATGCTCACCTGCTGGTAGTTTTTATTACATATCCCTGCCCTTCGACACACTGAAGGACAGAAAATTTCCTTTTTTGTGTGTGCTTGATTTTACTTACTGCCCTTCTTGTAAACCATTGTATAACCCTACAACCCATGATAATGACGGCGTTTTGCGATTGTGTTCGTGTTGCTTTACTACGCATAGACCTATTTATTGTATGGGGGAAAAGACACCAACTTGCCCTTGCGGGAATCTTGTTTCATTAGCCAAAGAGAAAAAAAAGTATAGTATAGTGCATTTGAGGGGTTAGTGGGAATGAAAAGAGACGAAGACGACGAAGAGATAGCTTTTTGATATCACGATAGATACGACTAGAGATGAGACGATATGAGCGGTGCGCTGACACCAGGAAGTATTTTGTGTCCGAGGACAGTACATGTTACGGATTGGTAACAGCAGATAATATTTTCTATGTCTGCCTAGGCTGTCTAGGTGCTAATCCATACCAAGAAGAGGCTGGGGGGTAGGATATCGGGCTTCTACTCACCTTCTATATGGATGCCAATGTATTACTACTGTAGGTAGTATCAAAAAGTAAAATAAATAAAAAGCTTCATGACAAGACTCAACTGAGAATAAATCTCATGGTTGTTTTAAAACTGTATATATATTAGAAAGAGAACAATTGAAGTTGTTCTCTTTCTAATAGTTGTATTGTTTTGTTGAAGTGATGCTAATAAGAAGGGGAATTGGGGCAACAGGCTGCTTAGTGTACACTACACTATTACTGTTCTGTGCACGGGCCAATTAAATTGAGTTATTAGAGAACCCTCGCCTTGAATTGATAGCGCGGGGCAAATCTTGTGGTACCGATAAGACAATTTGAGACCCCACACTTTGATCAGAAACTCTGACCTGAAATTATAATTCCCAAAACATATTAAAAAACCGCCATCATCAATATTCAAGGTTCTATTTATCAAGAAAATTACAAGTAATACACGGAAAAGACACGGTGAAAATGGCATCCAAAGCTAGGTAAGAGATTTCAACAATCTAATCTTCTTGCGGCTTCACAAACGATTGATTACGGGATGTGATATGCTAACGCACAAACAGGGACTGGGCCGACGACGACGAGGGCGACGACGTCTTAGTAGAATTACCTCCTCCCCAAACCATCCAGAACAAAGACGGTACCAAGACCACCATCACCTACCGATACAACGAGAACGGGCAAAAAGTCAAGACGACCCGACGGATCCGCCTAGTCACGCACCGCGAGGTCGTCAACCCGCGCGTCGCCGAGCGCAAGACATGGCAGAAATTCGGGCTCTCGGAAAAAGACGGAGCGGGCCCGCAGATGGACACGACGTCGGTGGGCGAGAACATCATCTTCCGGCTCAGCACGAACTGGCGCAAGGACACCAAGGAAGAGGCTAAGGACCCCAACGCCAACGCCATGAAGGAGAAGCTCAAGGACAAGACGGTCAAGTGTCGTATCTGCAACGGCGAACATTTCACCGCGCGGTGCCCGTACAAGGATACCATGGCGCCGGTCGGCGCCGAGGGCGCTGCCGATGTCGCTGCCGGTATGGGAGACGAGCCTTCGGCGAATGCGGCGGGTGCTCCTGGCGCGGGCAAGAAGGGCAGTTATGTCCCGCCGGCGCTGCGGGGAGACCGTGGCGCGGCTGGTGGCGAGAGGATGGGCGGTGGGAAGTATGGCAGCGAGCGGGACGATCTTGCTACGCTGCGTGTGACGAACGTGAGTTCTACAACCTCTATTAACTATATCCCCTTACCTACCCCCCTATCCGTCTATCTAACCCCCTGTCTCCATCTCATCCCATTCCATTCTTCTCTTTCTTCTCCCTCCCTCCTTATCCCTACCCACACTTCCAACATCTACGACATATGTTCTAACATAATCTACCACAGGTCTCGGAAATGGCAGAAGAGAACGAGCTCCGCGACATGTTCGAGCGGTTCGGCCGGGTAACGCGCGTGTTCCTAGCCAAGGACCGCGAGACGGGGCTCGCCAAGGGCTTCGCGTTCATCAGCTTCGCGGATCGCAGCGACGCCGTCAAGGCGTGCAACAAGATGGACGGCTACGGTTTCAAGCATCTTATCTTGCGCGTCGAGTTTGCCAAGAAGGCTGCTTAGACTGCCTGTCTGTCATAGGATGGATAAGGATTCTCAAGAAACACTTTCTTTTAGTATAGTCTGTGACTATGCGAATGGATGGGTGGATGGATGGCATGATACGGTATGGAAGGGCTTGGTACTATAGCGCTGGTTCTGCCATGCTGGGTGATGTGAATAGAATGAATGGGTTTTAGGCACAATAGGACACGGTTCCTTATCTAAATTTATTCGGCTCGTTACACATATCATTCTACGGGAAAATGTCTTCTTCGTCATGTTTAGCCCTGTGTGATTTATCTTAAGGGTTATTTCACGCGATATATGAATGCTGGGTTATATGAGCCAAGTATAGGTAATTAATATTAAATCTACCATCCAGTTCCCTCATGCAATGACCCGATAGCTCTTAACTACCTACCTAGCTTTATCTAGATCTGGTTTCCCTGATAAGTACCTAGAGACTGCGGTTGTTGTAGGTCTTGGTGGAGGATAAGGTGTATTAACGATGAGATGAGAGTCTGGTAGAGTAAAGGGAGCTTATTGATCTTAGGAGATGGGCTTGTATTCACTTGCTTGAGTACATAGGTAGTTTATCTCGTTTCTGTATTAATTCGCTGATAGACGATATTATAATATTCCAGGTACTAATATAATGAGTGGCATTGTGAGTATTATATGTTATATGTTAACCTGAATATTTATCCCAATCAAGTCGGATCATACATGTAGTTTTATAGCAACCTAAATATAGATGTAGTTTTGCACGTAGAAATACCTTGTAATGTCGAACATGGGGTTTCAAGGCAATAGCTACCTTCCTCTCTCTGTTTAGGGTGATCTTATACATACCTCATATCAAGGACTCGTCCGAAGGTAAGGTCCAGGCCCCTTACCTTAGAGTAAACCTAGTGTCTCGGGTACCATATTCCTTTTACATGTAAAGACCAATATCTTAGAATTTAGACTCTTGAGTAAAAACACTTAAATTTTAATACATTTACCCGCAACCCCTCACCCCCGTATTATCATTAGCACCAGCTTTCATCTCTCTTATAAGGTACTTGCTTGTAAGAACTTGCCATATCATAGGATGTTATTATATATGAGGCTAACAAATTAGCATATCGTCAGAACCGCTTATAATTATATAAATTTGCTTCTACCTTAGGTAACGACATTTCGGTCGGTTTACGGCCTATATTTTTTACCTTGTATAAATGAAACTATTAAGATAGACACGAAATCTGCTCGTTATCAACTTATGTAGGTAACCAAGACATATTTCTAGTTTAAACTTTACAAGCCAAGGCCTTACCTAATATCCTTATAGCTCATTACGTAAGACTTGCCTCATATCATGGTGTCATTCCAGCGTAGCCGACGGAATACCCCTCGTCGGATCGGGTAACCAAAGATTCCTTACCAACCAACCCCCCCTCTGCCCCTCCAACGTCTTCTTCACTCCTATTGGTGCATGTGGTGATTGATTAGCCGATGTTGCAGACTCGTGCATTCCAGAACGTGCTGGTACCTGGATGTTGCATCTTGCATGTGACGCGCATCCGAAAGCAATCCTTCAGCCTTAGGAATACATGGCGAATAATTAATACATTGCAATGTACCATCCCACGCGACATTTGACTGGGTACATGTAGTATTCGTTGACACTCAAAAATTTGTTGATGAACCGGGATTGGTAAAGTTTGGATTGGTTTGCCTTTGGTTTGAGGCCATAGTGACGTTGTATGTATATATGTATAGAAACCGGTGGATAGAAACCGGTCACGGCATAAGTATGCCCCAAACATACAGTACATGTTTACCTAGGTTTTACATTGTACCTAAGGTTATGCAACAAAAAAGTACTAAATGCACCTCACGTGGTACCTGTCCTTCGTCATCCAATTGAACTCTTCCACACTCTTCTGCATTTAAAAGTATATTCTCTATTCGCCAAGTTGTCTATTGGAAGAAAAAATAATATCCTCCACCTCTTTTCCCACACTTTCTTATCTATTTCCTCTCAACGCTCCCAATTGCCAAACTCAACTTTTGGCTCTTCTTTGTCTCTACATGGCTGCTAGTAGACGAGGCTCATTGCGCATCATTGCTTGATATCTAAGCTGCCGGAGAACATCTAGACGTACATAAGATATCTAGTCTAATGGCCACAACCGGTGATTCCGCTGCCGAGGTTGGCGAATTACGCCACAGACAGGTAACGGCGAATGAACATGTAAACAGTGACAGTGACGATGGCAGTGAAGACGTCGTGACATCTTCTAAACCTAGGAAGACCTATGGCCGTACCAAGGATGGAACAAGTAAGCATATGAAGTAGAATATGAATCCACACCGGATACTAATACTTACATAATAGTCTTCACGGTTCCTACTACTCATGATATGGTGTCGCAATTGCTCGACCCTAGGGAACCTAAGAATATATCGGATGCAATTGTCCTTGCTGTTCTTGCCGGCCACATCTTGACCTTGTATCTGCTCCCGGACTCCCTGAGGCGGCCCGTGTTCGCCGTTGTCTTTTTGTTTTGGCGTGCCTGTTACAACCTTGGCATCGGCATCCTTCTACGCTTGCAGTCAAACGATAACAAACTTGTAGCGTGGGCTCAGAAATGGAAGCTCTTCGAAAACCCGGCAACCGGCAAGAACCCACGGCCATGGCTGTACAAGATTCTCAAGCGCGAGCTAGAGATCAAGATCCCCGAGGACTACCAGTTTGAGAAAGCTCCAATCGAGTACAACACTTGGCTAGTCTTCAGACGACTTGTGGATCTCATTCTCATGTGTGATTTCGTCTCATATTGCCTATTTGCTATCGCTTGTGCCCACGTTCCTCCTGGAGAATCTATCTACGTTACCATTGGTCGATGGTTCTTTGGATGGCTCACTATAGGATTCAACGTATGGGTCAAACTCGATGCCCATCGAGTTGTGAAAGATTATGCCTGGTACTGGGGCGATTTCTTTTACTTGATCGACCAGGAGTTGACCTTCGATGGTGTATTCGAGATGGCTCCGCACCCAATGTACTCAATTGGGTATGCAGGATACTATGGTATTTCAGCGCTTGCCGCTAGCTACTCTGTCCTCTTCATCTCCATCGTAGCTCATGCTGCCCAACTCGCCTTCTTGGTCTTCATCGAGGATCCTCACATTCAGAAGACGTATAACCCTCCTACTCGCAAGAGGGAGGTACCCACCAGACCCCGAATTCATAATTTGTTGGGTATCAAAAACTTCGACCTACTAAGGACCGTCGATTATTCTACCTTTGTAAATCTCAGTCTTATCGCTCTTTTCGCTATCACCACGCCTCAGACGCCGTTGTACCAATCCATATTCTTCTCGCTCGCACTCTTGGTTCGACTCTGGTACTCCGTTGGATTGGGTGTGATCCTGACCCGGCAGTCTAACAGTAAAGCATGGACTCGCCACTTTTTGAAGGTTGGAGAGACTCCAGAGGAGGGTTGGCGACAGTGGAAGGGGTACTATCACATTACTCTTAGTCTGTGTTACGCTACCTTCATCGCTGCCTGCTGGAAGATGTACTCAGCTCCGGTCGACTGGAACTACGGGTTCGTCCTGCTCAGGCATGTCATCGGTGCTAGCCTCATCGCTCTTCAAATCTGGACCGCTGTGAGCATTTATGATTCTCTCGGCGAGTTTGGTTGGTTCTTTGGTGACTTTTTCTTCGACCAAGGCGCGAAACTTACGTATACTTCGATCTATCGTTACTTAAACAATCCGGAGAGAGTGCTCGGCACCGCTGGCTTATGGGGTGCGGCTATCATCACATGGAGCAAATCTATACTCGCTCTCGCATTAATTAGCCACCTTCTTACTCTTGGATTTATTCACTTCGTCGAGAAACCACACATGCAAAAGATTTATGGCCGCGAACTAAGACGTGAAGCTGGCTTGACGAAATTCATCAAGCGTTCTCTGCCTCCGCCTGTTATGGGATGGCAGTCGAGCGTCAATAAGGTCATGGATGAGACGTCACACTTTGTGGAAGACTTTTTAGATACCGCGCGCCCGAAGTTAGCTTCAGGCGTCTCGACGATCGTGAGAGATACTACGGCGCTCTTCAATAAATATCCTGCCCGTCTCACCTTGACGAAGCTTTCGCCTGATCTCGCAGGTTTTGACCCTAAGCAATATTCTATCAACGTGGAAGGTGAGGCATCAGGATTCTCCGCTCTGTCGGAACGAGCTAGTGGCAAGGAGGGCACCGCGGGACGATTCCCTAACGAGTTAAAGACGATGATTTTCGAATACGGCGCCCCGATTAAAGTCAAGTGGAGAGCACCGGCGAACCACGGTAGAAAGGATTGGATTGGTCTCTATATGGTAGCCGACAATCGGTCCCGTGAGATCACCGAACTCTCATCCCTTGGACGATGGATACCTACCGTGCCTGGCCAATTCGAATCTACTACGGCGGATAGGGGTATTCTAACATGGGACCAACCCGTTGAAGACGCCGGTAACAACGACGGCAACCTAGTAAGCGGCGAGATGGTCTTCTCAGGAGATAAGCTATGGTGGACGCAGGGTGTCTTCGAATTCCGTTACCACCACGACGGAAACCACAATGTCATGTCCATCTCGCAACCCTTCGAAATTCACGTCAACCACTTCGACTACAATGACGTGGACGCGGATATCGAGGGCTCGGTCCAGCAGGCCATCGAGTCGGCGCTCCTGCCCGTGGTTCAGAACTGCCTCGACCGTGACCCAGATATCGCGCCCAGTACCCCCGCGGAGCCGTTCGGAAGCCACGTGGAGAGGGATGGCAAGTATGCTAAGAGATTGGTGTATGCCATCCACCAGATGTTCGGTATCGAGTTCGCACCGGCGGTGGTGCCTGCTGATGGAAATGTGAGGAATCTTGCTTGGAGGATATGCAATGCGAAGCAAGTATTGGTAAGTGATATTCCTATCCCCTTGCGAAAAATAGAAACGACATAGTATGACTAACATACATTCACCATAGGCTCCTTACAGTATGTCCTGCTCGAAGGGAACGACGACGCCTGGGGCTGAGAAATAGGAGGGGTACCTTGGGTAATTATAAACATTGGGGAATTGGGGAGCATATACAGGCATATATACACACATACCTACATACCTTGTAGCAGTATCCCGTGCATCAAGTAATCGAGTAATCATAAATATCAGCGGGGACGGAGTTAGCGGGATTGAGTGTTTGGTGTTGGTGTGTTAGCGGTTTAGAAAACGATTCGTGGGTAGAGTTTTTTGGTTGGTGAATGAATGAATAAATAAATATAAATACTCAACCTAAGGTACTTGTTTTGCGTCTGATGAAAGAAATGGTGCTTGAATTATGGTAATGTTTACTTAGGTACTTATATGTAGCAGGCACGTAGGTAGTTTATATATGATGGTGCTAGATATTGGAATATAGTCTATCTTAATGTATAGTAGACGATAAGCTTCTCTATTGTTTAAGTATTTACATGCCGCGCCTAATGAGTTTACATATGCCGACTTTAATTACCTACATACCTAGGTAGGTAGGTAATTAGCTAGAGCATCGTGATCATAGCATAACATGACTTGACGGAAGAAATATATATATGAGGTAGTGAGGGGAATATATCGTATACATGTAGACCGAATGACTAGGTGAGTCAACTACGATGTTTATAAGATATCCTAAGACTATAGCTATAGTAAAAGGCTGCTGATATATACCTACTATTATCGTCTCCCTAGAGTACTAACTATACCGTCCCATTCTAAGGTCATCTAATACCTGACCTTAAGGTCTTAATACCTCAAAGACTATGGGGAAGTTACTTCACTAACTACCTAACTTACCTACCTAAGCATATACGGTCAACCACGAATCAAAGAGCACGCGCATTAATTCATCAATGATAGATAGTATTCAACTCCTCTATAACACCCCCTCTTCCCCCTTATCTTATATCAGCTAAACCAAGCTCTCTACCTTACCTTACCTACTCAAAGCTATCTTGCTAGCCTAAACTAGGCGACCTAAACCCCTCCTCTAACATCCCCATCCCCATCCCCAACCCGGTTCCCCCCTCCGAACTCCCTTGACCCACCGCACTTCCACTGCCTCCCGCGCGCCTAGCCTTAGCCCCAGCCTTCAGCTGCTCCCACTTCTCTCTATAGCGAATGAGGTTCGCCCTTGCCTTATTATAGTTGCGTTCCGTCTCCTCCAACTGCTTCGCCATGAGCTGCAGCTGTTCTTCTAGTTCGCGATTGCGTTTCGCGAGCGCTTCGTCCGATACCCCTGTTCCGGTGCCTGTTCCTGAACTTAGGGTTGATAAGGGTGGTGGTGCGGATGCTTTACCTGCTAGAGGAGAGCTGGGCCGCATGAGGCGCATGCTTTCTGCGAGTCGCATGCCTGAGTTTTGGGACATGGACTCGAAGGCGTGGAGGCGCTTGCTCAGCTTGTCGAGCATGTCCTTCAGGCCCTTGTTCTCGAGGTATAGCTCCTCGACCATGTTAGCCAGTTCTCTGTCCCGATCTGACCGCTTGCTAGCCAGTCTATGGGCGGCGGGTAAGCGGGAAGCAGCAGCCTGGGATTCCTTTGCGTCGACGAAGTCATCCTCGTCGGGGTCCTCGAGGAGAACACCCGCGCTGCCTTGCGCTTCCAGGCGCCTTTTCTCCTTGTCGGCAAAGGATAGGATGCTTGCGTAGGAGGCCGTGTGCCCGCTAGTGGGGACGACGTAGAAGGAGTCATTGGCAGATTGCCCGTCGCGGGATACGGCCCGTAAGGCGGCTTTAGAGTAAAACTTCCGTAGGTCGGGTTCGGCAGAGACCGAGGAAGGTCCTCTGATTCTGTTACGCTTCTGGACTGGAGGCTCAGGGGCTGGAGCGGGAGCTGGGGCCGGAATCTCGGCTTGCTCTTCACTGATTAGGGGCAGTCCTGCAAACGCAAGTGGTGCAGAGATCCTGTTAATGATACTACCGAATGCGCTGTAGAACCTGGAGAAACCATCATCACTAGTTTGCTTATTATCTACTCGCTCCTGGCTTGATCTTTCGTCTTCTAGACTGGAACTCGACTGTCTTGAGAGTCTCCCTTTCTCTGGAGAGGTGGTAATACTTGGTCTGTCAGAATTGTCAAGCATGTTCTGCATTTTAGTTCTAGATCCACTTCTACGTGAGGTGGCCTCCATGTTTCCAGGGGCCTCTGTATTGGATACACTTGGACTGAGCGGCTGAGACCTGTACTTGGACCGAATTCCGCGGGCAGAGGCGAGATTGCTAGCAATGGAGGCCCCAAGGTCTCGCGGGGGGTACCGCGGTTGTTTAGGGAGGGTTGGCGGAGGCTGCGCATTTTTCTCATTTGAGGTCCCGGTGGCATTGTTCTTTGTAGGCGGTGAAGTGGAGGCTACGCTTGTAGCTGCTTCATCCTTTTCACTGGCCTGGGAGTCATTTTCGGAGGCGGCTTGAGAGGTAGGAGGTTTGCTCGGAAGTTGAAGAAGTTCGGAAAGCCTTTGATGATGCTGCTCGAGCAGCTTCAAAGTGCGTAGAGCCTCGACGCTGCTGGTATTCCGCGCGGCGTTGGCAAATTCACCAGCGGCTCTTGTATGCTCGTTGACTGCAACGGTAGTATCGGAGGAATGGGTTGCTATAGATGCGGCTCTCGCATGATCATGCGCCTATGATTCGATAAGGTGAGCTGCGGCAAATAACGGACTACATACGAAAGAATCGTGGGGAAAAGATAGGAGGAAGAATCCTACCTTGATTAGAGGCGCAGAGTCCATGGTGTGAAATATGCGAAATGCGTTCGCAAAGCCGAAGTCGTCAACTACGTCGGAGGGATCTCACCCCTCGTATGAGTATGTAACGTATGTAGTTATTTGAACGTTGAGAACTCGTTTATGACGATAAGCGTAAGAAAGTGGATGTCACAAGCACGTCTGCAATATGTAATAAAAGCTAGGGGCGTGCGAGGAAGAACGCATCCCTCCCATTTGCGAAGATCGGGTTGCGGAAGTTGGAGCGAATAGGACGAATAGGCAAGATAGGGCGGGGGTGGAGGGGAGTTTAGGGGAGTTAGGGGTGGGGGGGGGAGTTAATTACATATGTAAAGGAAGTTTTAATGGTCGACCGGCACCTTCCAGCGGGTCAGCCAATTTGTCCTTCCAATTGGTACATTACTTACCTGCCGTGGAATAAGCCCATGGGTAAGCCTGGTACTTGCTTTTAGTCGTATAATGTTCGTATAATAAAGTACTGCGCACCATGTGGGGTACTTTTATTTTAGGAGGCAACATCCTCATCCCTGGAGCCTGGACTTAGCCAGTACAGTGTTACCAAGTTGAAATACAGTGTTACGAAAGTTGAAAGTTGAAACTTGAATGGTGGGGTCATTCCCGATTTGTGTCCTAATTGTGTCCCAATTGTGTGGCTGGTGAAATCTCACCTTTCCTTATTCAATTCAATTACGATACAAGGGGGTCTCCATTCGGCTTGGGTCTGATTCATGACGCCTATTTGCCCCGTCCGATCATTGAATGAGGTCGGGAACTTGGAGCGGGCTAGTCGTCTACGTTGCAATATGCAATAGGAGTGATCATTAACCCATCAGCCCTTATAATCTACTCCTTTCATTATTTATGTCCTATTTAGAAATCGTAATATCATCTAGAATCCAGCTCAAGAATATCCCATCAGAATTATATCAGGGAAGTGAAAAGAAGAAGAAAAGGGACATTTAATATTAGTATCGACCTCTAAAGAGATCTCGGAGCTATGACGACAGAATCGAGATAAAATAGTAGTTTCTCGTTGCCTGGAGCATTCGAACTCAAACACCGACTTTCTAACCTACCTACATAGTCTTTATTTGTTTGCATATTCGCATCCTATTAACACCAATTATTCTGAGAGGGTCGAGGAGTAACTTTTAACATTCCCTCCTTTGTCTTCTAATAGTTCTAGGATATAGTAACTTGTTGTGTTACCTCTATCGCTGCCGGCTCTCAACGCCGCGTGATCTTCGTCATCAGTAGCGACAGCTTCGTCATCATGGAGGTCGCTGACTCTTCTAACCCTAGCAAGGTTGGGAAGCTCCTCCCCATGAAGTTAGCAACAAAACGATGGAAGAAGCAACCTTCGAAAGAGAGTTTAGGTTCGACAGCTAGTAGCGAAGACTATTCTCGAGGAAGAAGCACAAGCAGTCTTGGCCTTAAGAACGGCTCTTTCTCGACTACGCAAGTCAACAAGATGGCAAAAGACGACGAAGATGGAAGGGAGGAACCCGAAGAAAGCCCCGAAGCCTATTATTCTGACCCTGAAGATGTGTAAGTATTATTTTTAATTGTTTATTTTCCTTCGTCTGCTCGCTCCATTTACAAAAACACCTTGGTTTCATTATATGTACATCGTCATATCATATCATTACCTAGGTAGTTATTTATTTCTTGACGTTTCCCCCTCTGCAACTCTCTCTCTCTCTCTCTCTCTCTCTCTCTACAACTCTGTTTCTCGTAGTTAAATAAGCTACGAAACCCTTTACCCAACCCCCTTCGCTCGGTCAAGTCGGCCATCCTGGTTCATCTACGAAGTACGGTTGGAATAAAAGGTAATTCATTCAACTTTGGGCATATGAGAGAATCTTAACAGATGCGCATAGCTGAACTAACATGAATTATTCCCTCGGCACTCTATTAAAAACCAACTGCTAGTCATCATCCTTGGCGGTTGTAAGCTAAGCAGTTCAAGTGTTGTGGTGTTGTTAGTCAACTCCGCCTTGCGAGATCTAATTAATTATTAGTCTCAACACCTCTTTCGCATCTCACATCTCGCATCTCGCATCTCGTACCCATCTCGTATTCTCTTTTCATTCGCTCTACCCACTCTACTACCCCTGTTCGTTACTTTTCGTCATACCTATCATTTCTTCTTCCTCCTTTATTTTCAAAGTACATGCATTACTTTTTTTTAGCTTCACCTTTTAATTCTACCGATCGTATAATTTGTGGCTTATTGTCCACTTAGTGTTGGTGGAGCTGTCGTCGAATCTAGCAACCAACAGGCTTTTATTGACCTGGTCATTCTTATAGGTCTGCGGCTCGACCCACGGTCCCTTCAACGCATCCGTCCCAAATTGGGCAGTTGACAACTTCGTCACCCTTAATCCAGGCCGATCACCTTCCCGAAATACAGAATCTGAGCACTGACGATCTAACCAACACTTCACGATCTGCCACCTTCGCCGTTACGCCTATCCCTAGCTTTTCCTACGAGCCGGCTCGTCAATTATCTCATACCAAGACTAGCTTGCAACCACCCCAAACTCCTTCGAGCCGGCCGAAATCGCCTACTAGTAGATTTAGGGACGCTTTCAGGGGCAAGAGAAACGCGAGTGGTGTGCAGGAAGTTGGTAGCGACAGTCAGACAGACGCTGCTGATAACGAGGAGGTGAAGACGTTGTCCCGGAGGTCGACCGCCGGATCTACTTCTCGTCCAGGATCGAGCACGGCTTCACAGTCCGATACCAATGACAAAAAGGTAGCTTCTTCTGCACGTCCAGGTCGACCAAAGCAACCACCATCCATCGATACTTCAGGTCGCCCTCTCACGCCGCCCTCGATCGAACCCGCAGCTCCAGTTATTGTTAATACACCGCCGACCCCGACCGAAAGCCATCGCTCGAGGAAGAACTCGGCAGTCAGCGCGAGCTCGGTCCCAAATGTGGTTGTCCAGCCTTCGGGTAGTATGATATCGAACCGACGAAAGAGATCAGGATCAGGCACAAGCATTGGCCCAAGCAAGCTATCTAATATAACGTTGGCTCCTCTAACACCGACACCCGAAAACCCAGCACCACTAACTCCGGGAGGCGGTTTTTTCTCGAGCATGCTATCTGCTGCACAAAACGCTGCCAACACGTTGAGTACCGCCGTCACCAACACTAATATAGGATCGGGTGGAAACAAGGCCAAATCGAACGTCCCTAGAGAGACGCAGCCGGGCGACGACGACAGGGTAGAAGTTGAGACATCTGCTGGACAGTTGGAGAATACTAATATGGGTGACAAGGAACTTGCCGTAAAAACCCTCGGAATGGGTGATCTAAGCCTAAGCCAGCTGGGAATCCAGGAACCTGGAAGCACCGCACCTACTCCGACCACTAACAAATTCTCCGACTCTACCACCGAATCAAGGACACGTTCTGAATCCGCACCCGTGGATAATACGACCGCACCTGCTAATGGAGAAGGCCATTCCGACGACCTGGCGCTAGAAGGACCACGATCTGTTTACGAGCCATCCTCTACGTCCCCCCCAACCAGTCTATATGAAGGTAAGTCAGGCCTTCAACGTAGTGGCAGCACTAAGAGTGCTCTGGCCCGGACAAGACGGAAACGCGGTAGTACCGGAGGGACCGCTGGAACTGGAACCACGATCGGTGCGGCCATCGCAGCAGCTAATGCCTCTGTAGCCCACCCTTCCGCCGCCGGTAGTACCCCAAAGCTCACAGGGTTTGCTGTAGCGAGTAAGAAACGCAACCGGGATTTCCACGTCTTGTTCAAGAGTGTCCCCGATGACGACTATCTGATTGAAGATTACAGCTGTGCGCTTCAACGTGAGATCCTCGCACACGGCAGACTCTATGTTTCGGAAGGCCATCTATGTTTCAGCAGTAATATCTTCGGATGGGTAACGACCCTGGTTATAAGCTTCGACGAGATTGTATCCGTCGAAAAGAGGAGTACCGCTCTCGTCTTTAAGAACGGCCTGATGATCTCGACGCTTCATGCTAAGCATGTATTCGCTAGTTTTACTAGTCGAGACTCGACTTACGATTTGATCGTTAACATTTGGAAGCTTGGACACCCTACCCTACAGAGTTCGCTTAACGGGGTTTCGCTGGAGGGGACAGGTGGCGATAAAACGGAGAAGGTTGAAGATGTCGATGCTGCAGTCGGAAGCCGAAGCGGCACAGGATCCGAAGAGGAAGAGAGCGAAGATGGGGAGGATGTCTATGACGAAGACCAGGACGACGACGCGCTCGAGGTAGCAAAGACCACCGACGCAAGCCCCGCTGACACGGATGGCGAAAAGTCGGGCGCCAGGAAGGTATCTGGTGCAGTTATCGGCAACGGTGCTGTTGAGAAGACAGACTTTGCGCCTACACCCTCCGGGCCCCCCGATTTCCCAGGACCGGCTACTCATGCACCGACGGATTGCGGCGATACAGATGCTCACTACGAAGTAGTTGTCGGCGACGATATTATCCCTGCCCCTCTAGGAAAGGTGTACACTTTGATATTTGGACCTGCATCTCCAGCGTGGATGGGGAAGTGGCTGACGGGCGAACAAAAGTGCACTGACTTGCAGATGGAAGACAAGAAAGGACTGACCCAAGACAATAAGAGCCGAGGATTTACTTACATCAAACCGCTATACGCCTCGATAGGACCCAAGCAGACCAAGTGTTTAGTGACGGAGACGCTAGAGAACCTCGATCTTGAAAAGAGCGTCAATGTGTTGGTTGTTGTGCAGAACCCGGACGTACCTAGCGGCAACATATTTTGTGTAAAAACTAAATACTGTCTCTCCTGGGCCGAAAACAACTCGACTCACGTAAACATCAACTGTACTATCGAATGGTCAGGAAAGAGTTGGCTGAAAGGTAAGACTCGGGACCTTTCTCTAGTCTCATTGTTAAGTACTGACATTCGCAGGACCTATCGAGAAAGGGGCTAAAGAGGGCCAAACTCAGTATTGCAAAGATCTCTTCGCCGCCCTAAAAGGAGCAGTTTCTACCGCACCTCGTTCTGTAGCTGTTAATGGCGGAGCGGCAAAAGGCAAGAAAAAGCGAGCTAAGGGCAAGTTGCACCAACCTTCTAAGGAAAGCTTGTCCGGCCCATCAGACTTGGTGGTGACGAAATCCCAAGACTGGGGTGTGTTTGAGCCGCTCCACGGTATCCTCGGCCCTGTGTTGGACATTCTCGGACCGATACTTACCGGCAATGTTGTGTACGGACTGCTCGTCGGGCTGCTAGTAGCGACATGGTTTGGTTTCGGGTTCAATGGTCAACCGAGGGGTTCGCCGTACGGGCGTGATTTGGGCTTCATGGGATATCCGGACCGCGTGGTCGCCTACGATGAGATCTGGAGGCGAGAGGAAAGCGATTTATGGGACTGGTTGGAAGATAGGGTAGGCCTCCATCGCATGAGCGAAGAAGCGATGCCCGTACGCAAACGGGTAATGGAGCCACGAACAGTTGAAGAAAAGTTGCGCGAGGAGCGCATGAACGAGCGAGAAGTCGAAGAAGCTATCAAGGTGACGGAGGAGAAGTTACAGGTTCTAAAATCGGTCATGGAGCGAAAGAAGACACCTCCGAAATCGAGCGTTTATGGTAGACCAACTACCAAAGTACCAGCGACTGAGAGGTAGCGATAAGAAAAGGAGAAGAGGAAGAAGAAGAAGAACAACCAGCGAGTTTACCACACAGGCACACACAGGCACACACAGACATTATCAACATACAACAGCAAAGCAAAAGCTACGACAGCCGATTCCATATGTCAGCAACCATAGCATGCACGACGCCACGACGAAGCACATTGATTTTTATTATGTAACTCATAGCCTGTATTGTACATTTGAAAGTGTCAAATTTTTCAGCTTCGTCTAGGTGTTTAGGGCGTAGGGCTTTCGGAATTTTGCTATTTTAGAGACAATCTATTTTGTAATATATAAGAGACAGCATTGCAACTTCGGAAGGGGTCTGTTATAGAGGGGTGGTAGGACTGCGATATAGTATACATTTTAGTTCTATTGACAGATTATTTGAATTGTGATGACTATACTTAGATTTGGTATACCTTTGAGATTTGGATTATAATATGAAGCTGTACTTGGCTACCTATCATTGAGCATACGATGGCTTTGAAGAGGTTTAATGTAATTGGATAGCTTCCAATCTATGTACGGATCCGTACATACATATAATATACCCTCTATGTACCCACCTAGGTACGTACCTCTTACCGTAGATAACCGATAAGTGTGGATGCCACTTAACGCGTACCAGGGCAGCTGCAGGGCATCAAAAACGCGTCTTCAATCGCGGGGTCTAGCTCTCAAAAGATTGCCAAGTACAAAAGTTACAAGGACTTTACCACTTGGCACTATTAACATCTTTCTCACTTACCAACCATCAGAATATTACAGCTTAGTTCATTCTGCAAAATGGAGGACGAAGATATATCCCACCACTACGATAACAGCCACCGCGCGTTCCTACAGGCCTTCATGGCCCGCGGCACCATGACGTTCAATCAAGCACAACCCATCCTCGCTGCTATATTCACAGCCCACGACGAAAACGAACACAAAAAGGGGAACAGCGATGAAGAGCCCGAGGTGACACGGCCGGAACAGGTTACACGCGAGGACTTCGAGTCGTACGTATCGGCAGTATCGGCAGCTATCTCCCCCTTCGACATGGAAATCCGATCGATCACGCACCAAGTCTCCAAGGAACGCGTGTATTCCCTCATCAACATGACATCAGACCCCATGACGCAACTAGCAACGCTACGCTCGGCCGAAGAGATGGCGTTTGTAAGAAGGGTCATCGACGCCATGTTCGACCGGTATAATTCCCCTAGAATGGAAGTCCTATGTCTAGACGGTATGCAAGCTAATAAGCTGCGAACGGCGCCGCGCAACGAGGACGGGGAAAGCGGCAACGGCAATGGAGCGGGAGAAAATGGGTCGCAGGCCGTAGGTAGTCTGAAGGGCCTCAAGAGCAGCGAGGTAGAACAAGTCCTGCGCGGCCTCGTCGACGAGGGCTGGTTCGAGCGCAGCCGCGCGGGCTTCTACTCGCTCTCCGCGCGCGCACTAACCGAGCTCCGGCAATGGCTCGTCGACGCGTACAACGACCCCGAGGCCGGCGATGGCGAGTGGCAGCGCGTCAAGTTCTGCGAGGCGTGTCGGGAGATTGTGACGGTGGGCCAGCGGTGCGCGGAGCGCGACTGCTGCATCCGGTTGCATGATATTTGCCAGGAGGCGTTTTGGCGCACGCGGAAGGAACGCGTGTGTCCGCGGTGCAGTACGGGGTGGACGGGGAAGAATTTTGTGGGGGAGAGGGCGGTTACGGAGACGGAGGCGTACCAGAGAGGGAGGAGACGGAGTGGGAGGGGGGGTGGGCGGAGTAGTCTTGTGGAGGATATTATGGATGGGGGGGAGGATGAGGATGAGGATGAGGAGTGAGGGGGTCTGTTTTGGGCTGTCTTGCTGTTATGCTCGGCCTCTCCTTTTTTGGGAGTGGTGGTGATGCTACCTTTCTTTCTACTGTACTTTTATACCGGCCTCGGCTGGCTGCTTAGAGAATAAAAGGGAAAGGGAATGGAATGGACACAAAATGGAGGTGTTTGTTAGATTAGATACCCTTGGACTTGTTCCTTGAAAATGGAATTACTACGTATGTTTATGGGATATCGTCTAGCTTGACTATAATATTTTGATTATTAAAATAATTGCTAGGAAAGATCCAAGCAAAACTCTTGCTAAATGTCTCTTCAGCGAGGCCGCCTATATCGCCACATGAGCAGTGTATACTATACGTAGGTACCTCCTATACCTGCATGTACTAGAGGTAAGTTCTATACTCCGTAGAGCTCTCGCCACAGCTAATTGTGGCTATGCAATGATATCATTCTAAGCCAAGCCTTCGGTACTTAAGCTTCCCTTGCTGAATTAGGTACATGTACGCATCTTACATCGCAACGTATCAGCCAATCATTTATGATCTGACCTACAAAGATAAAACAGGCTTGGAGGTATTAAGCTACCCTCCTGCAAGAATTGGAGGCCAATTCATCTTTTATTCTTTCTTTCTCCTTATATTCTGTTCTTCTTATTTTGAGGAACGCATTTTATCTCTCAACTTTATCATACCTCATACACACTACAACTTATAAGTCGCCAAGATGCTCGAGTTCTTTACGTATAAGAAACTAAAGAAACACCGGGATGAGACGGCTGAGAAGCAGAAACTAAAGAAGGACGAAGATAAGGGCAAGGGAAAGGAGGAAAATCCCAAGATTGATACTGCAAAGGCCAGTATCGATGCTATTCACTCCGAGTCTACAAGCTCGCCCGAGATTATCTTGGAGCGTACTGAGGGTATGCCTATTCTCGACCCAGAGGATGAGAAGTTTCTCGAGCGCCTGACCTCTCCGTCAGATAGCGGTATTGGTATCGGCGACGGCGACGATACACCACCACCTCTGCCTCCGCGTGTCAAGACGCCTGTCATCGAGCTAGACAGCGACGTTTCTAGCGTCGCTAGCAAAAATGAGAGCAAGCAGGACGTCCCTACTAAGGATGGTGATGGAGGCAAGGGCAAAGGCAAAGATAAGGAGAAGCATAAGGGCAAGGACAAGGACAAACACGACGGCGACAAACCCAACCACAAACCCAATCGCTTCTCCTTCGTCACCTCCCTCTCGCGCAACATCTCCCTCAAGCGCAAACCCACCCAACACCTCTCCGTACCCCCCTCTTCCTCCACCTCCACCTCCACCTCCACCTCCACCCCCACCCCCTCCGAGCGCGAAGTCAGCAAAGAAGAAACCGACATCGCCCGCGTCCTCGAGGACCTCAACCTCGCCGCCTCCGCCGACAACAAAGCCTTCAGCCTCTCGCGCGAATCCGCCGAGACCCTGCGCCGATTCACCCAAGTCCTCAAGGACCTAGTCAACGGCGCGCCCACCGCATACAACGACCTAGTCGGCCTGATCGAGGACCGCGACGGCGTCCTGGCCAGATCTTACGATAAACTCCCGTCCAGCCTGAAGAAGCTCGTCGCGCAGCTCCCCGAAAAACTCACCTCGTCGCTGGCGCCGGAACTCCTGGCCGTCGCGGCGGAGGCGCAGGGGTTGAAGGGCGGCGCGGGGGTCATGAGTGCTGAAGGGGGGAGTAAGGGAGAGGCGGCGAAGAAGCTGCTTGGCGCGAGTAATCTCCTGGAGTTGGTGACGAAGCCGGGGGCGGTGGTGGGCTTGCTTAAGGGTATTGTGAATGTGCTGAAGACGCGGTGGCCGGCGTTTGTAGGCACGAATGTGCTGTGGAGCGTTGCGGTGTTTTTGTTGTTATCCGCGCTATGGTATTGCTATAAGAGGGGGCGGGAGACGAGGTTGGAGAGAGAGGCTAGTGAGGTGTCGGGGACGGAGGGAGAGGTGGGAGCGGAAGTGCTAGTGGAGGGAACGAAGGAGGGTGGTAATGCTGAGGCTAATGGGGATGTACCTCGTATTGAAGGAGTGCCGGCTCAGCAGCAGCAGCAGCAACAGCAGCCGACGGTGTCTGTATCTGCCCCGGCGTCTTAGAGGGCAAGGAAAGTGGTAGTGGGTAGGCGATAACGGAATCACCGGCTCTCCTTATCAAAATAGGAAAAAACACAGCTCGCAATAGGAAGAGAAAAAAAGAAAAAAGAAAAAGCAAGAGGGCGAGACTATCTACCGCCTACGAGGGCATGAAGGTAGGATATACGACAGGACGAACTACACGAGCTACGATAGATAGATAGGTACATGATGGAGATAGATACCCTGTTTTGGTCGATATGATATACCTACCTTACCTATACATCTAGGAGTAGGAATTTTGGTCTAGGACGTTGCGGTTTGGTTTGTGGAAGGGGAAAACGGATGGAATGATGCTTAGGTTAGATATAAGTAATGGTAATGCGAACAATAGTATCGTGGCAGACAGTCTTGAGTGATCTGATCTATAGCTCGTTCGGTCTAATCAATGGTCGTGGTCGAATAGGGGAGGGGAGTTCTAGAAGAGCCTCTGTGATGGATAAAGCCAACTTCCCCTGCAAACACAATACTCCATACCAGTCAGCCAGCTACTTCCTTTATAACCAGCGCCGTATATGAGAGATGCATCGGGAAACTGTTTAAATCGGGCGAATCTGAATCAAATTACAATTGGGGTATTTCACTTAATCCATAGGCCTAGCTTATCTGCATCAAAGCATCGACATAAAAACACAGGCGAAATCCTTCGCATATGCTTCTCTTCCTCTGCTAATCTCCCCGCGGGACGAACTCCTTTCTCAGCCCGATATCTAGGAGGGCTCCTTACCACGCCTTACCACGCAGCCGTGTTGATACCTTAGGTAGGTAGATAGCCACACGAGCCTACGCTCCGCATGTCAAAGTCAAGGCTCGGAATAGGCTGGCCGCTCCTCTCTCAACAAATTCATACGTCGACGCCCTCATATCATCCAGGACTCTCACCCCTCCCTCGTATTCAACCAGTATAATGGGCCCTTCATCAACTAAACCGCGACAACCTAAGAGAAGCCTGGCGGCCAATAACAGGAACCGCAGAGCCGCGCCGCAACGCATGCTAGTCGTCCTGGACGAGCTCCTTGATCTCCTCTCTGCCGGGGGCAATCCCCGCCGTAGTATCGGCCTTAGCATCTCTACCTCCGGTACGGTCAATAACGCGAGCGCCGTCCCGCATCCAGAAGTCGACTTCGTCCACTATATCCGCAACCACGTCCTCGACGATCTGCTCGTCGTAACGCTCTGCTACAGGCCGGATCTTATCCAGGGATCCTCTTGACGGCGCCGAGGGAACTGCTACTGTAACGGTGTCCGCGTCTACCATGTCCACGTCGCCGTCCCCATCGGAATCGGGGAACCCGGGAGGCGGATACCAGAACTGCGGACCAAAGTTGACTTCGGCTGCACCGCCCCGGAACACGCTAACTGCAGGATAGTACCCTGCCATGCCGTCGTCCATGCCCTCGCGGGCACCAACCTGAACTTGAGGTTTGGAGGCCGGGGGCAGGAAGGCGAGCAAGTCAGTAAAGGGGGTACCTATGAGCACGCCGTTCTTGTATACGCGGATGCAGGATTTAGGCAGCGTACGTAGAGCCGGGACCTGGTGGTTTGGGTTAGGCCTATCGGGAGGTCTACTGCCGATAGTGCCCGAGGGTCCTGCAGGCGACGGGTTCATGAGATCCTCAAGCTCCTTGGTCGTGTGGTAGTCGATTTTCTCCAAGTAAATGTGTTGCTTAAAGCGGATCGGTATTCGGTCTCGGACGATATTGGCCGCCTCCATAATCGGGTCTTCCTCGTCGAGTAAGTCTACGGCTGGGTTATATTGACCTTGCACGACCTTTCTGTGAAGATGCTCTGACGGTAGCTGAATCTCGAGTCCGATCACGTCACCCTCCTTGATTTCTTCGCCGGGCGGGAAGAAGTCTTTGGGCCGTGACATATGAACCTTCTGGCCCTGCACGTCTCTGATACCGTAGCTGTAGGCGTCGAAACCGACCGGCGCGTCTAGCGAAGCTTCCCGTCTCGCGAATCCCATACGCACGTGGCCGTGCGATTCGACGCTTCCATCCGCGTTGCTCTTGATAGTACCTCTCGTAATCTTGCATTCCCAATACCAACGGCCCTGGCGCACGGCAACATTAGCTCTCGCCGTCCTAAATCCCTTGTCTGTCGTTATGTGCCGCCCCAATTGGTCCATGTACATGTGCGTAGCAGCATCTTCGAAGCTGATGTGGGCGCCGTAGGGTTCGGGTTCGGTCTGTCGGTAGTAGAATGAGGAAGGGAAAGCTGGGTCGGCTATGCAGTGTAGGTAATGGAAGCTTTTCTTGTTGAAAACACTACGCGTAGGTTAGTAGACGGCAGGAACAGCGCAGTACAGAATGCGACTTGCTGTTCGGAGGTCTCGTAAAATTGAATGGTAGAACCATCCGGGGCGGGGACTTCGTGATGGGGAGTAAAGACTGGGCCTCGGGCGGTTTCGAAATCGGAAGGCCGTGGAGGTGCTAATTTATAACGCAAAGGCGAAGACTCGTTCGGAGGGAGTTCCTTGATCTTGGGATCGGGTGTAGCTCTAGAGCTGTCGGCACCTGGCCCAACTTTGGACTCTCGCTTCTTCAGGGTATCTTTTTTATTTCTGGCAGGTTTCTCACGCGCCATGGCGAGTACGTCGTCATGCGACTGGGACTTATTAGGTTTTAGGTCGGGGTTGGGGTTAAGAGGGGAGGAAACGGGGGGCGCGTAGTCGTCTTCGAGAGGTCGTTTCTGGGGAACGGAGACGGGAAGAACAGGAATGGGTACGGGTGTAATTTGCCTTTTTGGCAGATCCACGTCGGTAGCCATGGTGACTAAAAAAGGGGATCAATTGAATTAAATATCTATGTTAGGTACTCTAGGCTCTTTGAACAAAGTATGGTGCGATACAAGTGCTAGGATCAAGATGAGAACAGCATTTGGAAGAATGTTGTGGAGTTTGTTTAAGTGATCGGAACCTTGCTCCGATCACCTTGCTGCGGCTCTAAACTTTAACGTCTCGGGTACGGATTACACCTACCTAATATAATAAGGTATTCCGTAGGTACCTATATCAGATATCCGATCCTTCCTGCCGGCCACCAATTTAACGTTCCGACTTTCTATTGTCAAATAAAAATTTAAGAAAATAGAACCATTTAATAGTACATAGACATTTAGGTATCTCAACTAGCTGCGACTTTGTATAGCGGGCCACATCAGCTGCGTTTTTAACAAAGAAAAAATCGATCAACATTAGCGGTCTTCAAAATCAGACATTAAAAAAAGATAAGATGCTGACATTAAGACGAATATTTGAAGTATTTCGCATCTTCTAGATCTCCTATGTACGAAGTACAAAATAAAGCACAAACAATAAGACGGAAACAATTATAGAGGGAGCATTGACCCTTCGCCGGGACATAGCATGAACGTCTCACAAAAGTTTGTCGCATGGGTTCTCGATGCAAGCTACCAAATACAAAAATGTAAACAGCAAGTTGGAAAAGAACAAAACTTGCAAAATGAATGAATAAAAAAAAAGAAATCCGAAATTTTGCAAAAAAGAATGCGACCACCACGGGACTCGAACCCGCAACCTCAGTCTTTCACTGCCTAAAGATGACGATAGACGTTATTTTTAGGAGGACCGCGCGCTACCATTGCGCCAAGCAGTCGTCTGTTCGTAGGAACAAGAGATGGAACTTGTGCCACGACGCGACTTGTTCGCATGGAAACTCGATCGGTTATTTAGTCTTATATCCGCTAAAGGAAAAGGCCCGTTCAATCGTTGCGGGGCGGGTCGCTAGTGTAAGACATGATTTGAAGAAAGAATGTACACTATTGGGGTTGGTTGCGTCATTCACTTTAGGCTCTAGGCTTTGGCAATTGGAAACTGCTGTCTGAATTTTAGAGGGGTAGGACAAACCCCTTGTAGCTGCAGTGCGGAGTAAGTTCATATCATATTTAGAGTACATTATGGGGCTGGAGGGGTCTATTGACATAGTGTCAGCATTGGTGTTGAGGGGTGGACATAATGTCGGCGGTGCGCCGCTTAAGAATCAGTCCCCTACCTGATTGGCTAGCACGTCTAATAAAGTCACCCTCGGGGGTGATTATATCCAAAATATAAGGATGACCAGGTCTGAAATAGCTACCGTACGTACACGATTATATCTTGTTGTAATTGTATTTTTGTTAAAAATACAGATATATTGGGAAAGAATGGCCTTTTAGACATTGTCACCAACGGTAGTCACGGTCACCCAATCGATGTATGTCACGTACAAGACCATGTTAGGCCAAGAGACTATGTCAGGCCAGGTAATCTAATATATTAAAAAAAAAAAAAGAATAGAAGGACTTATAATCTAATACAAGGCCTTCAACATACTTATATATATACAGCACAGGCACAGGGACATGTAAAAGTCAATTGAAAAGATTACTTGAACTAGGTACTATTACGAGATTACGGGCTACGTGTTTTACCATTACACTACGAGGTTATTACGATTACGAATGATTAAAGTTTACCGTATTGCAGTATATATGCATACTTCAGGCCCTTATTTAACCTGTATATACCCGGGGCTGACATTGTATTAAATCTCTGACATCGTGTTAAATTCTTGACATCGTTGTGGACATAGTGGCTACCTGGACATCGTCAACAGGCCTGGCAATTACGGCGAAATAGACAGTACCTCTGACATAATAAATACCTTAACATACTATCTATTAGTACTGACTTGTAAGTACCTGCAATGAAATCGGTACAACAAGCCTTGCAGACATTATATTGACCTATTGACACGGTCTTGACATAGTATCGGGGCCTGTAATTATGTAATTATACTGACACCATTGCTGACATAATGTCAATAGACCCCCCCAGCCCCATAATGTACCTAATGAATGCTGTGGTCCGTATGATGCTACGAACATTGAAGTATTCAATTTGATTGCTGAGATTTTAAGGTTTTTCTTTTTGTAATTTAATAAAAGGTACCTAATACAAAATACAATATGTTTCGAAGCCTAGGATTTGAATGCATATAATCATAGCAGCTTCATACGCTGTTGATTTCAGCAGCATCGACAGCATATCGCCAAATCAGATACTCATATCAAAAGTCGAGTATATTCTCACCAAGAGACCCAAGAACAGACTATTTGTGCAGTCTACTACCAACCGCCTGCCTGCCTGCCTGCTACTCAATGGAGGTCTGTAATTAGACTTTAGATAAGGCAGATTGCATCTCAGACTTTCATCTCACGCACAGGACGCCCCAACTTAATCTACTTCGGATATGTCGCCGTTTGTCTTGCTTGCCTCAGGACCCGGTTCGCCGTCTGTCTTGCTCGCCTCAGGACCCGGTTCGTCGTTTATCTTGCTCGCCTCAGGACCTATGTCGCCATTTGTCTTGCTCGCCTCAGGACCCGGTTCGTCCCAGAACGTCACGCACGTAGCAACCGCATAGTCCCCATCATGGCTGATACTGATGCGCCCATACATATCCCCAGTGCCGTGACCCTTGATAACGGCCACAGGTGGGCCAGTTTGTCTCAGTGATCTTATTTCCTGGGAGTCTAAAGGCGAAATGTCTTGCTCTTTTGACGACTCGTCCAGCTGGTGTTCGTAGGTAATTATGATATCGTGAAAGCTGACCCTGTGAGCACTGCAGGATTTTATGACTGCTTCCTTCGCGGCCCATCTGATATTTATATGTAAGTCAATTTCATCGAAGCAAGCTCTTGTGCAGTGCTATACCGACCTTCCAGCCATAAATCTAGCCGCAGTCGCTACTGCAGGAATCTCTTCCTCGATATTTCCATTTGGGAACAGGTCGGACTCCGGGAGGTGCCGGCGCGAGTAGATGGGTTCGAGGACATGAGATGCTCCTCGAACCGAGTTTATCTCGTCTTTGGTGAGGACGCGATGAATGAAATTGGAGCCTTTTTTCTGGGCTATTATTTTATAAATCCTGGAGATCTGACATATATCGGTGCCGACGCCGAAGGAAAATGGAAATTTTCTAAGGGACGCCATGGTGCATCGACTGCTGCTAATCCGTGAAAGGATGAAAAGATGGATTTTATTAAGAAGAAACCCAAGAAGATGACCTAATCTTATCGCCGATTTACAGTAGTTAGTTAAAAAAAGTAAAAAAACAAATGGTTCAATTATTCTTATTCCACGCCCCACATGCATTTCTAACCGTCAATGTTATGATTAATGATTAATGATTAATGTGATATAATTTAGAACCTCCTTTTTTAGCTACGGGATACTATGACTGATGACTGATGACTAATGACTGATATGACGAAAGAATTATAGTAGTTTAGTGCTGGTGACTTGAACATCTCGCTCTCCGTATCCAACCCAACACCAACGCCGTCGCACCAATCAAATTTTGAAAAGAAATACCCGCAATGATGGGAATATATATGGCAGCATCACATATTCTTCAAATGAGCAGAGTTATAATTCTCGGGACCTTGCCCTACAGATTTCTCTTCTCCTTAATTCTCACCAAGGAGCGGAGCTCGCTCGGTATCACCATTGCGCGCCGACGCGAATTTAGCATTTCTCCCGGCTGGTATAGCAACTACAATAGTCGCCACGAAGAGAATCGCCATGATGATGAAGGCGAATATCCACTGGAACGCAATAGCCTGTCGGAGGAACTGAGACACACCAATCGCCGCTGATAGGACGCTCAGGTTGAAGCCCATGGTGTAATCCTAGCGAATGTTAAAACCCAGTACACATACTAAGAAATATATTGGTAAGACTCACCCTGTAGATAACAATGTAAAACAGGCCGTACGCCAGGATCGACCAGATGAAGATGTTACCAAAAATACGCGCAACAAGCGAATCCGGGTGAGGAACCATGATGGCGCCGTTCCAGTAAATCGCGACGAACGTCCACGCCAACGGCCCCGAGACGACGGGATAGTGGATGAAGCGAGCGTACCCGGGGTGGCGGAAGTACAGCGAAGTTAGATTGATGAAGTTGAGAATTATAAACAGCTCGGCCCAGCCGAACAGCGAGCGCACGAAGAGCATCACGAAGGCAAAGTGGAACAGGTTGTTCAGGATGAAGTGGCTTCCCACTGAACATGCCTCGTTTACACGCTCGACGGTGCCGGAGAAGAGGTGGGCGATGTAGCCGGCCTGGAGAATGAACAGTACAATCCTAGGATATGTTAGATTGACGACCTCGTGATAAAGAGTATGTATATGATTGTGCCTTACCAATAGATGCTAGCGATGATATAATTCATCCGGAACGCCGTGTGATACGCATCGTTTTGGTGCCATATTTTCCGGCGAGGCCAGACGCCGTCATGGGGCGAATGGATGGTATAGTAGATCGAGACGACGACCGATAGCAACCAGGTGATGGTCGTCAATATTTTGTCTGCTACGGGTTAGAATTATGTCTCCGGGTTTCATCTTCGCTTTCTGAGCGAGTGAGTATACAAAACAAAGGTTAGTTACGACATACTATAAATAAGTTAGCTTCATTCATATACATTACACGAGATCGTACAAGCCAGGATAGCTCTATACGAGACGTCGTTATACATACCAAGTAATGATAGTATTCTTTGTGTGAGTATCGCGCTTTGCGAACGGGTTTACTAAGGTGTTTAATCAGTATGAGCTCCAATGTCTTCATTCATGTATCCCCAATCCAAAGTAAAGTGTTCACATACTATGATGAATCCGCTCCATCGTGGGTGTAGCTGTAGCTGTAGCTTTAGCTTACGACCGATTCGTATAAGTGGGCAAGGTAAGTAAATAGATAGGGACGACGGATTGTGGATTTTTACTATCCGGAACACTACAGCCAAATTCCCGAAAATATCCCTACGAGGAATACAAGGAAGAATAGTAGGATATTTAAATAAAATAAAATAAAAATAAAAGGAGGACCCAATGGAGTTTTAAACTATGAAGACTCAATGTACTAAGTATCCGATACACC